ATTCAAGAATTGTGATTATTTTCTCTGCTTCCTGAGAGTGAAGGTCAATATCCCGTGCGCTTCAAGGCTTCTGACCGGCCCCGATCTCCCGTGCCGGTTGCATGTCTAGCGCTTGCACTGTGTCTCGGCTTAGCGAAGCCGCAGCAAGGAGCGGCCGAAGACGAGGAGGATGATGAACCACATCTGCACGGGCTTTCGCCAGGCCATAAGGTCCTCCAGGCAAAACATTGGCCCGGGGCTTCAAAGATTCCTGGAGATCTTTTCGAGTGAGCTTTAAACATCCCACTGCCTTACCCTTATGTGTTTTTTCTTCTTTTTAGCTTCTGGCATGGCATGATGGCCTTTGGCCATCAAAGACATCACCCCATGGGGCCGGCGGATGCCTCCGAAGGAGTTTCAGGCACCTCTCACGTTGCAGTCCTGGAGGAACTGCACCCACGGCACAATGTCCGCATAGAAATTGTTCACGTGGTACCTTGATGCGTGCGACACTTTTCGCTTGGGTGGCGTAAGTGCGCGCAAAGCGAAACAAACTTGACGCGTCTTGGCAAATGAAAATGACTCATCAATCAAGGCAACCCCCCACCCCCCCCTTGCCCGAAACGTTGCCCGAACTGGGAAATGCTTGGGCCTCTTTTGTTCAGTTGGTAGCCTTTTGTAAAGTAAAGTGCCTGATAAACCTAGAGAGGGACACAACCCTATTTTGGGGGGTTTTTCATTCGACACTGCCTGGAGAGTCACCCTCACTTGGCCCACGCTCAGCAATTGTCTGGTGTATCTCACATGGCGATATACTTGAAACCTGAGCGCACACCGAATCGGGTCTTTCCAAAGGGGGGGCATTTCCGGTTCCCCTTACCCTCCCACCAATTAACATGGAACCTGGAAAGGGGCGTCCAAACCAGGTCAATTTTCCTTTCAAAGGGTCCGGGCTTCGAACGTCAGGTTCCAGGTGAAAAAGGTGGGAGGGTAATTGGAAAATGAGAAGACACCCCCTGTCCTTCAGAAACCACATCCAAATCTCTGAGGCCCTGGCTGCAGTTGTGCCACTGCGCCCTGCAGGCCTAAGCCCCCGTTCGATCCAGAAAAGCACACTCACGTGGCGTTTGCGCCTGGACTTTAGTGGGTGAAGCGCTTGCTTGTAAACAACGCTCACGGAGTCAACAATGCACCGCCTATACCTCCGCTTTCTGTTGCAAGACGCCGTGCCCAACTTACAAAACACTGCTGCCGAGATGTAATAAGTGATGATGACATTGTCGAGTTTATCATTGTACATTTCTCTGTCCGTAGCGGTTGTGTTTGTGTTTCGTTCCAAGTTGTTTTGTCTTGTAATATTTTTTGTTTTTCGTGCAAAGGTGTCTTGTAATTACTTTTTGTCGCGATTGAGTGCTGCGATGAATCACTCAGCATCAATGCACTTCCAGCACCCTGTCCTAGTAGGCACTAATATAAAATGGTGCGGATTTATTTTGGGAACTTTTTGCGGCTTGTTTTGGATGTTTTTTCGTTTTTCGTCCGGGCCAGTAAAATGTTGTATTTTACAAATAGACGCATTTTATACTAGCCCGTCAACATCCCCAGCATCGTTTTCAACACCCCCCCCTGTCCGACCAACATCCCTAGCATCACCAACAAATCGTGGGTGACAAAATCGAAAAAGTAGCTGGCGGGTTGACGGGGTCAACAAAAATAATGATTCAAATAGGAGGGCATTTCAATTCCAGTATTAAAAACAAAAACCATTGAATTAAAAAACGGGGGGTTGGGGGGGGGGGGGGGCGGCAGCCCCCCCATGATGGTCGCAGAAGCGATGATACGAACAGGGACGCAATCAAATCTCTGCAAAAAGTCTAAAAACTAGCGGGGGGTTGGGGGGGGCGGCAGCCCCCCCCATGATGTTCGAAGAATTGATGATTCAACTAGGGGTGCAAAAAAATCTCTAGAAAATCTAAAACATAGCGGGAGGGTTGGGGGGGGCTGCCGCCCCCCCCATGATGTCGGAAGAAGTGATGATTCAAGAAAGGGTGCGATAGAATTTAAAAGGCAGCGGGAGGGTTGGCGGGGGTGGCTTCCTTTATGTATGTTCGAAGAAGTACATACATACAGACATACATGGACTACACAGAATACCTAACATGTCGTATTTTGCAGCATTTTCTCGCGAAATTGGACGCTCGAAAAAATGATGATTCAAACAGGGGTGCAATTTAATCTCTGCAAGAGATCTAAAAAGTAACAGGGGGGAGGCGGCAACCCCCCCCATGATGTTTGAAGACGAGTTGATTCAAATAGGGGTGCAATTACTCTGCAAACAATCTAAATTGTAGCGGGTGGGTGGGGGGGGGAGCCCCATGATGTCCGAAGTGCACTTCTTTTCGGCTTCCGGTTCATTCCCACCCGAAATGGTCATCCCCCGAGCAGCAAGTAAAGCAACCTGTCGGAGGGCATTGGCCGAGGTGCTTCTGGGCACCAACATCCTAGGCACAGCCGGGGGTGTCGTTCGCAGCTGCACCTTGTCGATGTCGAAGACCCCGTCTGCCCTTGGGGCAAGGCGCGAGGTGAACCTGAAAACGTGATCGATTTGCTATGCCCGCTCATGTCCAGTTGGGCTTGGCATTTTTTTTGTCAGATTTCAAAGGGAATCTGATGCACAAACCCTTTGAATTTAGCAGGAGGTGCGCAGCCCAGCATTTCTGGCTTGAGGGTGGACTGGGTAGGGGCTTCATCTCTTCTTCGAAACGGGTCAAGCTGTTTCGGAATCGAACACTGGCAGTCGTTTTGCCAGCTTTCTTCTGACCTCTGGGCGGAAGCGAGGATCCCAAACAACCGCTCGCAGGAACAACAAGAAAATCAGAAATACAGCAATAGGAATCCCCCGCATCCCTCAAGCAATTGAACTAGGCCTAAAGGATAAGTCCAGAACCCCTCTGTTGGTTCCAGCGCTCCGGTCAGTTCTTTGAAGCCGTCCGTGGTGTGCTTCACGAGCCAAGGAACATTGTGCTTGTCATTTGCTGGCTGGTTTCATTTGCAGGATTCCAACTTCGGAAGCCCTGCAAAACTCGACAAAGATCGGAGCTGAGATGCTTTGCGCCAACTTCTGGCAGCTTGTGCTTTTCCGAGTCATCATCATCGAACTCCACCCACACATTCCTGGGCGACCGATATGCCCCTCTCCCGGTTCAGACGGACAACGGCGGCAGGACTTCAGGAAAGCGCCAGCGTCAGGGTCATTACCTCTCCTACGACTCCCCTCCTTAGACAGCGCCACGTGGAGGATGTCCCATTGCGCAGCGTGCGCAATTTGCCGAATGCACAATGCACACATGAGCAAAAAGCGCAAAAAGGCCATGAGGAGCCAACCCAGGCCGTCACCAACTTGCAGCCAGCTCGCACCTACCCTTGCCGAGAAGCCTGCCCCTCACACTGGTCACTGTGCCCTTGCGCTTGTCCTGGCACAATGGCAAGACCAAGTCACGGAACATGCGTGGCAAGTCATTTCAACTCTGCATTGGGCCCCGTGTTCGGCAAAATGTAGGTTCACTGCAAGCATACCAAATGCTTTTGCACGAGGATGTTATAATATGAGCATATACATTTAAAAAAAATCTTCGCTGTCTTATGGCGACGGCCAATGAACAAGGGTCGCACCAATTTACGGGCGTCCATCCAAGGCACCACACGCACTAAGGACTTCTTCTTCACCTGGGGCTTCTGCGGCATGTCGATGAACCACAGGTCCTTACGTGCGTTGGGCTGCATTGCCCACCTGGTTGGCTGCTTTGTTTGGCAACTCACAGGTTGGTTCCGGATTCCAGCCAAAGCGGAACACGCATTTGTGGGTGGATGTGAAGGCAGGGCATCCTCCATGAGGAGTAGAGAATTCATTCCGTGAGGCTTTGTCACTTGGGTGAACATAGATTTTGGCCCCCATTGGCGAGACGTGAGGCCTCCTGAAACCTTCAGGTGCAGTGAAAACCGCAACCGCAGCATGATTGCAACACGCCATGAGCATGTGATTCTGAACCTGCAAAGTGACCCGAGCAAAGCCGCCCAAACGACCTCTTGCCCAAGGATGCGCTTCCCTGGTGTGTTGCGAGGCGCCCCTGCCCGACAAGATTGCCATGTCGCCAAGCGCCAAATTCAGGGAATGAGTCATCATAATTTTTCCCGGGTCCTGCCTGAAACTTGGGCGGTCTGAAGGCGAAGCTTAATAAGCCCAACGTCTGAATGGTGGCATGGCATTGAAGCCCATGAAGTTTGAGCCTCAAGCATGTTTAGGTGGCGTTTCCCGAGCCCCCTACAACTGGGTTTCCTCATACTTTCAACTTCCCAAGTGGCATCCCACCAAAAACAAAAATCCCTCAGGCAGTGTAACAAATTGCCGTGAACGTTCAAGAGGGCCCCCTGAAAAGTGATTGGTGGACACAAATCCCCACTTTAACCAAGAGCGGAAACTCCCGAAATCAAATGGCCAAAAAGGAGTCGAACACCGGCAAAAGAGGACATGTAAGGCCCCCTGTGCGTCTTTTTTGGACATCGAACCCACACAATTTGGTTCTTTGTCTTCCTTGACAGTGTGTCCAAAAAAATATGCCCCGCCCCCCCCCCCCCCCCAATAACCCAAAAGGGAGAATCAATGTGCACGTCTCCTCTCCTCATGAGCAGACTAGCCGTTGTTGAATTAATTACCAGTTGCTCTCTAGTATTCGGGCTGGCTGGTAGGTTTCAGGTTCCCTCCACTTAGATTGCTTTGGCGGGTTGGATTGCTTACCAACAAGGATCAGAGGGTCGCATTCCAAGTTTCCACAAATCCGAACCACCAAGTAAGGGTTACCTGAACTGCCCCCTTTTCAAAGACCTCGGCGTGCACCCAACAGGCTTAAACATATCCCCATGTGACAATAGTCAGTCAAGCATCAATTTTCGGCACCTGAATGTTTCAACGCCTGGAAAAACGACCAACTTGCTGGCTCCCATTTTTTGCAAGGCCACCCCAACCACTAGCAGGGGTGGATGCTGACCCCAGATCTAACTAGAACCCCCAGTTGAATTCGATTGGGTGTCCTGTTTTACTGGGGATTCAAACCACTGATAAATAGAGAAGGGACTGCGGTTTCGCGGTTCGGGGTGGTTTCCCATTTGCCCTCTACAAGAACCAGAGGTTCAAATTCCAAATCCAAACCAATCCAAACCAATCCAATCCAAACCAATCCAAACCAAGCCAACCCAATCCAATACCACCAACCTGACATCCAAAAGGCCTTGGAGACATTTTTTTGCCTCCTTTCCTTTCCCCCCCCCCGCTGGAAACTTCATCAGACTCTCTCTCTCTCTCTCTCTTCGTCAGCAGCGCCATGGCGCGTGCATGGCCTCCACCAGCTGGTCGAAGGTGATCTCCAGCTCCCCGCGTCCCACCGCCACTGTGCCCGCCAGGTGCACCAGCTCCTGCGGCGAATGGATGGCCGGGGGAATGGCCGGATGGCCGGGGGGGGGCCTGGGGAAGACGAGTGCCAGGGTTGGATCCTTCTCCAAGACATGGGGAAAAACATGGGGAAGGTGGGGAGAGGGGGAGGGGGAGGGGCAGGGGAGTGAAAACAACACTAAGTGCCAGGTGTCAATTAGAGTCTTCCCCCAACAAACATGGGGAACATACCTCTTTTTTTGTTTTGTTCAGGGAACCTGCCAAGAGAAAGAGGGATTGAACACATTGACAAATTGACCGTCTTCTTGATTGGTCAAAGTACAAAAAACAAAGGTCTCGATGGACTAATAAGACAAACTAGACATCCGCTTTTGGAGTGCCTCACTCTAGGCAAATTAAAATGGGGTCAAAATGCGGGCCTGGGAACAAAGTCTGCAAATAAAGGTCAGGTGGATGAAATCAATGGGCGGCGCGTCCCTGGACTTACAATTTTGCCACCTTTTCAAGTGGGATTTGACCATCCTCCAGGCTTCCACCACCCCCCACCATTGCGCAGAGTCTGCTCTATGCAAGCGGCCAGAAGGCCTGTAGATCTTCTTCGCAAACTCTCATACAGACAAACGAAAAGAACCCAGCTACTTTCCAACTGGCATACCCCAAATGGACATACCACACCTATGGGCCTTATATAGGGAGGTATTGTGTACTTTGCTTATACTCGCTTCTTTTGGGGTATGTCCATTTGGGGCATGCAAGTTGGCCCCTGAAAATTATTCATGGCAACCTGTAGCTCTCCTGCATTCCGGTGATCTGTCCGCTCTGAGCGTCCACGAGTCTCATGAGGAAGCTGTGCATCTCCTTGGCTCAGACAAAGCTCGGAGAGATTGACCTGGCTCCCATTTTTCGCCCTGGATTTTTGATTTCTCTCTCTGGGCTTGTCTTTGGATCAAATCCTCCCTACATGGATTCTGGACTTCGTCCCGGCGTCTAAAAAACAAATGACGCACTTTTTGTCGGTCCAACGGAAAATCCACAAAGCTTCAACCAAAAGTTGAAGTCCAAAGATCGGCGACCAAAAATAGCCATAAACAAAGACATAAGTCGTGTCAAGCATAGACAAAACACGCCCGACACTTTCGGGTGCCCTGATCTGAGTGTCCGAGGTGTCGTTCCAGGACGCGACGAGCTCCAGGCCTTCTTGGTCCAGCGAGGCGTTGAGACCTCACCCGAAAGGGCGCCAAGTGACTTTCTGCCCTCTTGGCCGGTCTCAAAAGTGGAAATCGGTCCCCGAAATCAAAGGCTGAATGACGTCCATAAAGGAACACATATGAATCCCTGGTATGAACCCCCAGTTTATGGGATTCATCTAGTGGCGGAACTCTGGGAAATCAGCCCCCACAGGGTCCCACACGGCCATGGGTCCATACGGACTTGTAGAATGAGGCTTTGACTCAAATGGTGGGTTTCCTTCCTTCCCTCCATGAAAGGCCAGCGACCCCGCAAATTTCACATGCAGTGCTTCCATGGATAGTAGGATGAGCACCCAAAGCCATGAGCTCAACCGCTGCCCGCCCTGTGGCCATCTTCTATCTGGGGTGCCGTTGGTGGTCATTTCGTGGCGCCACCTCTCCTTTGCCATGATGAGCAGCACCTCGGCTGCCCGCTGAACAGATGAGGACCTCTTAGCCGCATAGATCGAACATCGCTTTCTGGGACTCCGGTGACTTCTTGAAGGTTCTCCCCCCCATTTTTCCCACATATTCTATTTGTCTTAAGCAAAAAATACGCGCCCGCCATGAAATCTGTTTTGCAAGCATGGCCCCCCCATTTCTGTGGGCCGTCCCGTGACGCGGCAACCCAATCCAGTGAGACCTGGACCGCGTCTGATCGGCCACGCCCGTCACAAGCCGCTGGCTTCCTGAAGTTCGAGGCGCGAGACCCATCCAGAAGTAGAGGATGCCCACCGTCAGCAGCTCGCTGATGAAGCAGGCCACAACCTCTGCGACAAGAGATCAAGCAGACGCAACCTCAAGGACAACCAAGTTGAGCAATAGACGGGAGAGAGGTTTGAGAACGTCTCTCAAGGAATGCAACAGCTTTTTCCCCTTCTCCCAAACCTGGAAATCAAAGAGCTCTTTGGGTGAGATTCCTTTTGATTTGGAAGCTCAGATCTCAGATCGCAACATGTCAAGCCATAGATGAGTTTACATAACACAAGCCAAACGTCGAAGCTATATGAAGCTATGGTATTCCCTTTTTCAGCCTTTGGGAAAAACACGCGAACATTCCTCACGTGCGCGCCCCACTCCATGGCGCGTCGTGTGCTTGGCCTCCCGTCGGCCCGGCTCAAACCGAGTGGCCGCGGCCAAAAGCAGCCCCGAGAGCAGGAAGGACTTCCAGGCCACGATGTAGCTGCAGAAGGCGATCAGCGCCTGGGAGGGCACTGTGAGAGAAGCCAAAAGGAAACCAGGGCGGGAAATGAAACCCACGTCTGTGATACAATAAAAAAAAGGGCTTCCTGAAGACTGACCCCCCAAAAAAAGGCTTAAAAAGAAAAAGGAAAAGGCAAGCATCACAGATTTGGGGTTTGGTTTGGCTCTCCAACACGGAGACTAAACTGTTTGGGAACATGCACGAGAGGGTTCTGACTGTCCCCAGCCACATCGGCATACGGCTGTTGCTTGCCCAGTTGCGAAGAGCATGTCATCAAGTAGCCTGAGAGAACTTTTTCTCGGATGGTTTTCGCCCAATGCGGGGACGGCTTTCTTTTGAGCCTTTCAGTTGACATCCACTGTTTTCATTTCCTGGAACATCGGATCCAAACTCTAGCGAAAGGTACCGCTTCAGGGCTTCACTTCAGGGCAAGCTGTGTTTGAGGTGTAATCATAGGCTGGTGCTAGTCCCAGCCATGTCCTGAGCCATGCGCTACCATGGCCAAGTAGGGTGCCTTGGCCTTAGTGCACACCTCTCTGGAACAATGCCACGCAGCAGGATCTTGATGTCTGTGGCGTGGTCCACAAGATCTTGTGTGTCCAGCTGTGGCAAATACTCCTCCTGCACAAAGGTGGCGTAGGTGAAGTACCTTGCGCCGTTCCGAAGCCGTTCCGAAGCCTTGCGCCAATTGGGGGGGGGTTCCAAACAGGGCCTTGCTGGCTCCCGGTGCTACGTTTTCTCGCCGAGACTTGCATGAATCAGTCCGACTCATGCACAAACAAATGAAACGGAATATTCGGGTATCCCGTAATTGGTGGTTCGGGGGTTTGAATTTCTGGTTCTTGTAGAGGGCAAATGGGAAACGACCGGCTCCAAACCATCCTTTTCCTGCTTGGCCCCCCAGCTCGCGATTCAATCAGACCTCTCAGCGGTGTGCTGTTCGAGGCGTCCAAGGGGAACCAAAGGGAAAACCGCATCTTTTTGAGGGGAACCCCAACAATTTGACACACATCGTGTAGACCTATTGAACCCGGGAGCCCAATCTGCTTCCAGGCTGCGAGGGGTGAAGCGCCTTTGCGAAGGTGCCATCCAAACCTCCTACGCACAGAGAGCGACATGCACTGCTCTTACGCCTGCAATATCGCGGGTCTCTCTCGCTCTCCTTCTCCCTAGGCACTGGCAGCAATCAAAAAAGCCTGCAGGCGAATCGACACTAAGGGATGGTTCCCGGCAGAGATCCGGACCTGCATCTGGAACACAGGCGCTTACCCAAGTTCTCTCTGCTGCATGGCAAAGGCGTCCAACTCAGCTGCCAACTGCCCCAACGGTTCTGGGAGGCCTTCCGAACGACCCCAAATTTCTTCATACGGAGGTTTCCGGGTATCACAGAAATTTGGGAAAAGCCCAAAGGTTCCCAAAACTACAGGTGTCCTTTTTGGTTGAAAATAGATGGGCTTCCCTGGTAGCTGATTGAACCACCAGGTAAACCAGGAATCGCCCTCTATTTTTCACCAAGAACCAAATCAACCAAAAAGGACACCTATGCCCAAAAAAACCCTTTGCTCCCAAAACCCTGGGAGGAAGCTTTTCTAGGTCCTCCAGTCGAGGTTAGAATAAGGCTACCCGATTTTTTTTTCTGTAGTCTAGTTTAGCAGGGGAACCCAAAACCCAAAAAAAGAAACGGTAAAAGGGCACTTCTGGGGGACCTAGTATTTTAAAGCTCTCCGTTTCGGAGGTGAAGCTGGCCTGGGACCACCTGCGTCAGCTTCAGCCGGAGACGGATCTCCCCGGCGTTGTACTGGACGCTGTCGTCTTCCAGGCTGCCGCCCTCGAAAGTTGCCAGGCCACATACCCCCAGATTCACTGGAAACGCTCAGTGCCTGCAACAAAACCTAATCCAACCCTGAACCAACCCGAACCAATCTGAACCCCGACCCCAAACCAATCCTAAACCGACCCCAAACCAATCCTAAACTCTAAACCAACCCAAACCTGAACCCACCCTAAGTTGACCCTAAACCAATCCTAAACCACCCAAATCAATCCGAAACCAACCCTAACCCAACTCCAAACCAACCCCAAACGAATATTAAACAAACCCCAACCAACCCCAAACCAACAACCCTGCGCCAACCCTGAACCCAACCCTGAACCAAGCCTAAGTCGACCAAAAGCCAGTTCTAACCAACCCAAACCGAAACCGACCCTAAATCAACCCCGGGTTTGCCCCGCAGTTTACCCAATCCAAGTTTCCTCGGCTTCCGATTTCTCCCGAATCCTTGGTCTGGCAACCCTGCTAGGAGCCCCTCATGCCTTGAGGCCGCAAAGCTTGAAGTGTTGAGTTCGAGCCAAGGTGATCAAAACTCGGCATTCGCATCGGTCCAAAGGCCCTACCAAAAGCCATACAGAAGTAAAAAGGCGGAGATCTGCACAGCGGTTGTCCCTACTCTTCAATTTCCCGGCTGAAGTAGCAATCTGACCTCCACATGAGGGGAGCAAAACCCCCCAAAAAATGGATTTCGCGGCCTCCGCCCGTTGCCGGACATTTTCCGGGCCCCCGAAAGCGCCCTCGACCTCCGGCAAGGCGCCTGGATGGCGCGCAAGCCGCCGCGCACGCGCTTCATGACGCGGTGCGCCAGGGAGGCCGGCACCTTGCCCTCGCGCTTCCTGACCAAACCCACAGTTCCCCCCCAGCGTCCGGGTGTCAGCTTGAAACCCACAGGACCCACGTGCAGGTCATGCCTGAGAAGGAAAAAACCTTTTGTATCATGCGGGTCATGTCCTCGCGGGCTTTGCATCGTGGGCCCAGAGTGGCGTATGAAACTTCCCAGGTCAAAGGCGACCGGAAGAGGCGACCAAAAACTGCGCGCGCCCAACTTCAGGGCTTTTGCCCTGGAAAAATGGGGCTTGAACCCCAGCCGCCGAGCTGCCAGTAGTCAACATCGTGGGACTTCTGGTTGTCATTGTCCTCTTCCTCTGAGTCTTGGGCCTCGGCGCGGCCCAAGACTCCCAGCTTCTCCTATGCTTCGTATGCCCGACGCGCACTCTCACAGTCCGGCTGTCTGCTTTTGCTTGAGGATCACGATTGCTTCTTCTTTTTTTTGGTGTGGCACCCTAAGAAGGCTTCACCAAAATTCGGTTGCTGTCTGCCCTGCAAATTGACAGCCTCAGCCTTCCCATGTGTGCACCGCTGCTCAGGTAGACTTTTGCATACGCTGCCGGTGGTTGGGACGTGCCCCGAATCCGAAGCCAGCTCTGTGTTTCCAACATTGCTCAAGTAATGGGCTCTGCATCGGTGGGCGGACAATTGCAAAGCAGCCATCTGCCTACTCTTCTGGACTGCCTTGAACATTGTTCTTGCACACATCCATGCTGTCATCTATGCACCCGTGCACCCGCACAATCATCTGATTCGTATATATATATATATGTGTGTGTGTGTGTGTGTGTTAAAATCAGGGCACTTCCAAAATTGTGCTTTGTCTTTGTTGCTAAGCAAGGAAAGAAAGGGTCTCCTAACACGACACGTCCCCAGTTCTCATTCTCCGAGCTGCTTTGTCACCTGAGCCAATGAGCTCGCGTGTATCCTAGGCAAAAAAAAGGGCTGGGCTGAGAGCACCGGACAAATGAAGAGTTCCCTCAGGAGGATGGTCCCAAACGAAGTGGCAAACAAGAAGCAATCGCCAAGATTTGCCCTTTGCCTTGAAGCTGTGCTGCATGAGGGCAGTTTCAGTTGGCAACCCCTGCGCTTTATATCCTTTTTCCACAGCTGAAAGAGCTGTGGAGAGTCGACAGCTTGTGCCCATTTATGATGCTGTTGGTTCTGATTTAGTTGACCCTGACTTTGCAACAACCTGCCCAAGTAGCAGTCAGCCAGCAGGCGGCCAATGCATGACTGCAACTCGAACAAAAGCAAAACATTGGCCTCACATCAGCTATGGCTTGGGAGCCTTCACCCACCAACTTAAGTAGCAATTTGCAGCCATAAATCATGTTGCCGGAAGAAGTCCTCCCTGCTCCTGAAGAAACCTGCTTTTTGGCATTTCAGCGTCAGCTTTTCAGGATGCTCCGGTTTTCAGCTGCCGCAAGCCGACGCCCACTGAACTTGAGCCATGTGACAAATCGGAGCTCCTCCTCTCGTCTCTCCTCAGCTGACACAGCTTGATATCTCGAGTTTTTGACTGGCCCAAGCCTTGCACGAAGCACATTCAACCATCTTCAACAAGTATGGACTGCATATCATGAAGCGTTCTTTCACTTCTTGAACGGAAAAATGAAAAAGTGCCAACTGGAGCGGGTAGGTACTCTTACATCGCGCAAGCCGGTTTTGAGCCATTTGATCTGAATTGTCGAACCGAAATTATTGCACTCCAAGCAGCTAGCTGGGCTCTGATTTAAACACAAAACATGTTGGGTTTGGGTTTATGTAAAAATCTTATCCAACGCCTTGGTTTTGCATGAAAACCACATTCTTTGACTCCCAACCAGGTCAACCAGGTCAAATGCTCAACGGGCCGCCGCGTGCATGGCGTAGCGTTCGAGGTTGGCACCCTGCAGATTCTGCGCGAAGCGCAGCTCGAACCAGCCATCGATCTCCTGCTCTGAGCGCCCCGTTGGATTGTCTCCATGCCTGCTCGGTTGGTTGGTTAGTCGGTTAGTTGGTTTGCGGGTTTGGGCGATGGTTAGTTAGACCACAAGCAACAATTGCCTAAAGGTTGGGAGCATGGCCATTTGAACGCCGTCCTGATCGAATACGGACCTCCTCTCAACGAAACCATGGCCCCCCCACCAAAACCGAAACAAAACACAGAAGCAAGCGACGGCCGCAGCGATGCTCATGAAATCTCATGAACTTGCTGCGAGCGAACCTCTGCCGTGTCCTGGTCAAAAGGGATGTCCGAAATGCAGAACTCCACAAAGCCCAAGGGGTCCACTGAAGACATGCAGTCCCGGGAGTCGGTGTCGTATACCTCGCGAGACGGATCGCATCGATCGATTTAAGCCGATGCCCGGGCGATCGCTGGGCACCAGGGGGGACCCCGAGAAGTGCCAACGCGGCGTTGGCCGAGTTTCGTCTGTCCGCGCCATGCCACCACTTGCCTGAGTTGACACCAAGGTGCGTGCACTCGCACAAAGGAGTGATCGGACACAATGTCAAACCGCTGCTTGTCGTCCCACTTGGGCTGGCGACAGTTCATAACGGGTCCTTGGCCGCGCAAGCGCTTGTGCTACTGCTGGCGAAGTCATCTCCAGCTCTACTCTTGATTGTCAATCGGCCAACAAAAATCTCTTGGAGATGTGTAAAGCATCAGTACAGCTGAAAAAGTACTCTGGAGTCACTGAAGCTTTGAACGCCAAGAATCTGGAGCCATACTGGAGGCAATCATCAATGTAGACACGGACGAATGCATCTGGCTCATCGCCGAAATTTCTCCTGAGATCTGCCACCCCCCCTTTCTACTTTGCTACTTCCCCAAGAGGTGGCAAAACGCGGCATCCCGTTCCATACAGCAAACGCTGGGCTGCAGCCAGCTCAAACTAGAGCAAACCACGTAGTGTGGCAAAAGAAGCTGCCGAGAAGCGTGAAGTACAGCGCCGAAACTCAAGCAGCCGGCCAATGCATGCCGGCAAACATCGCTGTATTTGCTTTTATGCCAGGTTTATCATCGAACACCGTAGAACAACTGCAAAGGCAGGCAAGAAACTGCCAAATTGCTACGTGGACATAAGCTTTGGGAAAGTTGCCCGAAGCAATTCGGGTGCAACACGTTTGAAGCCACTGGCTGCACTTACCATTCTCATCCTTGCTGTTCCCTGGCTCATAGGAACTGGGGATGAAGACATTTAGCGAGAATCCCGCTCTGCCAGGTCCAAGCTGACAGGAGGGTTTCGGACGGAATCCCTCTCCCCTCTTCCGCTGCCGGGGCTCTCCACGACACCAGCTACGCTGGGGATGAGACGCCGCGCCTCCACCATATGCAGCTCCAAATGCGCGAAGGGCCCAAGCGTATAGTACCTCACGAGCTGGGGGGTTTCGTTCGCTTGGTTTCGATTCCTTTCCCCCCCGCACTTCAATCCAGGGCTCCTTTATTGCATGAGAAACGCCTGTTCGTTTATCTGTCCTGGGGCCACAACATGGAAAGAGCGGATTGTCGGCTGTGGGGAGTTTGAACTCGAAATCAGATGTGTTGAGACTCAGTCCGTCAACTCTCGGCGCAGCTTTCGCGCATGGGCCGTTTGCAGCATGGCAGCTATCAGCTCCCCAAACGCAGCCAGTGATAGCACAAGTGGCTCTCGTGGCCATGGAACGCCCCCCCCTGCTAAGGGTCGAGCCGCCCGATCGAACGATGCCAATGTCCTATCGGCGCCTGGCTTCTCGTTCCGAATCCGGTCGAAAGGTTTCAACCCAAAGCTTACACAGCCTCAAAGGGAAATGTCGTAAATCCCCCAAAGCTGCGGACATCCCTCTCTCTCAGCTCGAGCTGCGCTCGGTCGGGCATCTCAAGGCAGCGCCAGCGATTGACGTGAAAGTCCTCGCCGTTCTCGATCAGGTCCTTGTGCTCCGGCAATGCCAGCGAGTCGAATGGTGAACGGACAGCTTCCCTTCAGCCAATGGATGATTGCCACTGGCCGTTACCTGCTCTCCGATTTGTGGGCCCTTGTGTTTCCTGCCTCGGTTTCGGGCTTAGTTGAACCGGCCTCCTGGAAATCTGCTACGCTGAATGCCGCTGCGGCGCGATGATCTTCTGCACCTCTGGGTTGCCAGACTTGGCTTTCAGCTTCTGCGAGGCCTTTCCGAGCAAACGGTCGCGATGCGCTGAGCACAAAACCCACAAAACCCCCGTGCCCCAAGCGCCTTCAGCCGAATCTGCGGATCAAAACCCCCCTCCCCCCCTCCCCCCACGCCTCGACCAGGATGCTTTTTCGCTTGGGCGTCTGCGCGGCAATGCGAGGACTTGGTTGCTTGTTTCTCCACTTCTTCCATCTTCCTTGTTGCCATCTTTCTTGCTCTGGCTCATGTTTGGCCTCCGCGCTTTGCGTCGACATCCCTGTTGGCACCGTTCGGTATTTCTAGCTCACCTTGTGCTTGCATGCTTAGGCAGCACATGGCAGCACCCAGTCCAAACACGTTTCATTAGCGTAACATCGTACAGGGTGCTCAGTTGTAGGCAGCATCTTGGTGCACACGGTGGCCGTCAGCTTGCTTCTCTACCTCTCTATCTCTCTCACTCTCTCGCTCTCTGGTTGGTTGCTCGGTTGGTATTTCCCCCCCCCCCCGACTATTGAAAAACATATTGTTCCAAACTCCGGGGCCCCAAGTTGGGGTCACCAAGCGCAGCTTGAAAGAACAAACATGGTGACCGTCTAAACCTGGAATTGACCCCTACTCATGAAATAGGTTTGGTTTTGTGTGTGTGTGTGTGCCGTCCTGGATCACGGACGATAAAAAACCGGCAGGGGGCCAAGGCTCCTGGCAACTGACCTTGGCCAACGAAGCTAGGTTGCCAGGAGGGAAGGAATCCCAGACGTGGGATTCCGTACCTGTCGCTGTGAGGCTTTTCCCTTTGGTCCCCTGGGCTCCCAAAATGGTGCTGTTTGCTTTCTCCTTTTTGTTGTTGCCAAGGGAAGCCAAGTGTCTCAGCTCGGCTGGTGAAGCCTCTCGAGATAAGTGTGTATGTATACCCACGGCCTGTCCGACATGGCGCCGTGGGCTGGACTCGCCAGATGCGGGAGCCCCCTGCGAGGGGAAGACCGTTCAAGCGTTCACGTTCAAGAGAACATTCAGCGTGTGCGAACATGGTCAAGGCAGCCGCTTGAGGTCACAGGAATGTGCGCCCCAACTGGGCTTTGTGAATTGATTGCATGTTCTGCTCGCACTGCTTGCAGGGAGGGAGGAGGGGTCAGGCCTCATGACAGGTTTCAGGCATTTGGTCTGCATGCGCAAGTGGTAGGTTGGTCACATACCAACCTTTGCAGATCGTAGCGTTCATCGCAGCCACTGTCTCAAATCAGTTCAGTTCGCGTTCAGCTTCTTACCATGCAATTCGCTGTCTTCTGTGGAAACTTTTGCCGTTGCCGCGGGGTTTTGGCGGTCCCCTGGTGGAATTCCCTCTGTTTGGTTTCGTTTCGCAGGTTGAAGTTGGCTCTGCGTCCCTCGAAATTCTTTTGCTGTTGCCGCGGGGTTTCTTGCGGTCCCCTGGTGGAATTCCCTCTGCTTGGTTTTGTGTGCTCGGGTTTGTCGTCTTTGAAAATCTTTTGCCGTTGCCGCGGGGTTTTTGGCGGTCCCCTGGTGGAATTCCCTCTGTGTGGTTTGTGTTCGCGGTTGTTGGGTGCGGTGTTGTGTCGGCTTTCCTTTTATGTTCGCCCCACCGGGGCTTTGTGTGTGTGCCGTCCTGGATCACGGACGATAAAAAACCGGCAGGGGGCCAAGGCTCTTGGCAACTGACCTTGGCCAACGAAGCTAGGTTGCCAGGAGGGAAGGAATCCCAGACGTGGGATTCCGTACCTGTCGCTGTGAGGCTTTTCCCTTTGGTCCCCTGGGCTCCCAAATGGTGCTGTTTGCTTTCTCCTTTTTGTTGTTGCCAAGGGAAGCCAAGTGTCTCAGCTCGGCTGGTGAAGCCTCTCGAGATAAGTGTTTGAGGGGGGGTGATCATGAGGGACCACATTTTCCCGAAAGAAACCGCAAGGTGTTTCTGGCTTTCAACCGCTCCCGGGAGTGTATGGCCCAAGCCCACCTTTGCAGCCTCCTCATCGCCCAGCAAAAGGTCCTGCCAAAGGAAAATCTCAAGCTTGCGCACTTTTGGGGGGAGCGCGGCAATGCAAAGCTGTGCCTTGAAAACGCCACGCAGAGAGTTTCCAGGTGCGCTGGATGGCTACGAGTTTCATGCTCTCTGTGAAATTGCGGCCCTTGTGCCCGGCGGTGCCCGGTCTGTCCCGCTCGTCGCTGGCGGCGGTGCTGCTCCTGGCGGGAAACAGCACGGCTTCTGGGGGGGCAATCAATCAATCCATCGTGCAGGTTAATTGGTTCAGGAGGCAGTCTGCGGTCTGTGGGACGTTTTTGACGGGTCGCTGCAATCTCTGAAGCTTTTGTTTTTGCAGGATTTGGTCCTGCAGCCCAACCCATTCCAGTCTCCCAGTTGCACGCACCAGAGAGGAGTCCTTTTGGCTGGTCACGGACGCAACATGAAAACTGAGTGTTTTATATCCGAAAAGCCGAAAAGTTGTCGAAAAGCCGAAAAATATTCAAAGTCGAAACGTCAAAGAATTGATAAGTCGAAAAGCTTTGGACTTTTGATGGTTTTGCGAAACATCCCCTGTTCCAAAAGAGTTACGCGCTGCGACGTGAGCGCCATGTGTGAAGGGAGCTGGGCCAGTGGGGCTTGCAATGGGCGGGGTCTCACTTCTGCACCCTCTTGATAGACCCTTGGGCACTCCCAAGCCCCACCATAAAGAAGACAAATTTGAGTATCACATTTGCCTCGGGGCGATTTCACTCCACGGCTGCAAAAACAAAAGAGGGAATCAGTGCGATGGGAACGGGCAACTGCCGGACATTGCCAAGACACAAGCAGCCAAACATGTCTTAGCGCTCGCGAGGCGGAAGGCCTAGGCCAAGTCAACAGCTGACGGCTTGGTCAGCACAAGCTATTATAGACACGCTGGCCAGCAAGGAGTTGGTAGCCGAGATAACAGGGCATGAGGCCCTCTGCGCTTGAAGCTGGTTCGCAGTGTCTTGATTCTGCACACTTCATGTCAGATTTAGACCTTCGTGTTTCCAGCTGCCCCAGAATGCGGATGCGCGCAGCATCCCATTGTCGTGCGGCTTGCCCGCGCCTTGCCTGCCCCCGCTCCCGCTTCAAAGGGGAAACGTGTAGACCGGCAAGCTCGCGCGTCCATGGCCTGAGGAAACCAGGTTTTTTTGCAGGGACGGACCTGCGGTCCGCGAACTTGGGCAAGGAACACAACCGAGCCGCTGCAACCAGACTTGGCGATTACCAACCACAGCCAGCGCTACCAATACAGAACATGCCAAGCCGGAGCCCCGCCAGAAAAAGGGTAACAGGGCTTTCTCCTAAAGAGGGTCGCCGCTTAAATGCTAGGATGCTGTCAGAGCAGCGTTTGCAAAGGAGGGGCTGAGCCGAAACGGATCCCTGCGCTCCCTGGGACAAAGCATATGCTTTGCTGCGCCAACTGGAGCTCCACTCAAGCATCACTTGCCGCCCCACACTTTGCGAGGAAGGCTGTGCACTCAATGTCGGAAACTGCAGCAAGGCAGGAAAATAAACGATTGACAGCCCTGCGAGAGCGACCCTGCTTTGCACTTCGCGTTTCCTAACTGAAGATGGCAGCCAACAGACCCAAGGCATGTTACCACAGCGACGTTCCACTGCCTGCCCGTGCCAAGCTAGAAATACCCTGGTGGGATGAGGCAGGAGCCAATCTGGCGCAATCTGCCACGGACGGGCGTAGTGACTGCTCAAAGCCGTAAACGCGCGGGTACCTGACCAGCGTGCTCCTCACCATGGTCACCAAGGCCTCCTCCTTGGCCCTCTGACAGAGGCATCTTTGAGCCAATGGCCGCCTCGTGTTTGCAGGACTCACGAAGCATGCTGCCAGGGAAAAGTGGTTGACGGGCCGGCAGAAAGCTTCGACTGAACTGGAGCCCAGTCTCTCGGTGCTTCAGTAGATCTCACCGCAAATGTTCAAAAACACGAAAAATCGAAAGTCACAATGTCAAAACACAGGGGGCTGGTTGGGGGGGGGAACCCGAAAAGCCAAAAAACAGAAAAGTCACACCAGCGAAACGTCGAGAACGTCTAAAACTCGAAAAGCCGCACAGTTTTTTTGTTGACTTTTTTGACATCTTGCCCACAGTTTTGCGCGGCCTCGCTTTGTGCAGGGTCCGGCAAAAACCGGCAGCCCTTCGCAAAAGCGAAGGGCCGGTGAGAACGGTGACCCCCGTCCTGCTCGAAGACCTCTTGGGCTTTGCTGGCACCTTGCCAGCCACACACCCCATGGCTCGGCTCACTGGCTCATTGGCTCGAAGCCGAATCCCAGGCTTGCGTGGTCCCAAATGCTCCTGCTCTTGTCGCTCGAAATGAGAAGTGAGGCCTGGAAATTGGATGTGCTGCTTGCCGAGCGGAAATATCCTTGAGCCGGCTGCATGCCTTGAAGTCATGCATCACCAAAAGAAAGCCAGGGAAGATGCACCAAGCCGGAGGAAACGCTTGGCTCGAAATTCGGTGTCCGAAGGAAACGTGCAGAGACTTTAAGGTGGGTTTTGAGGCGCCTGCCCCATGCCCGACTCCCTGAAATCTCATTTCTGATCTTTTTGGGTGTGCGTCCTCATACGACCTCCATATAGCTGCATGTGACTTGGCTACTCGCAACCGAAAAGCCTCCAAATGGCCGACGGCTGCATGTTCCTTCGATCCGCCCTGGGCCGCCGCACACTAGGCCAGGAGCAAAGACCATATCCGACTCCCCCGCCAGCAGCCGGAGAGGCCGGTCGCGGTTCACCTAAAAATTCGCGCGGAAGAATGCAGAATCTGCCGATATGTTGTTATATTCCCGGCTTCAAACTACAGCGATCCTTACCTGAACATTGCCTGGTAAATGGTGGTTTCCCTTTATTTTGGTGGAACATTCCATGTTTCAAATGGGCAAAATGGATCCTTTAAGGAGCCCTGACATGTAGCCGAACAAAGGGCATGGCTGATTTATTTGGGAAGGCGTTTGGCGTGGAGACTCGTAAGAAGCACATGGGCACTGAGTGATATGGGAACTGCGGCTTGGCAAAGCGGGATGCTAATGCAAGAAACTGCGCCAGCAAATGTTGACGTGTGAGTGACATGCAAGCATACACTAAATCGGGGATGGCCAATGTGTCTTCAATTTGGAGTCTGATCCCGTGCAGGGGATCTCCGTATTCAACCTGGTCGAGCAGGTAAAGGATGGCATATCAAGAGGGTAACCCACCTCCAGTGAGAAATGAAAGGGAGTGCCGCCTCAATCAGGCCGATGTCTCTTTAACCTGGCCTGCTTCAACCTATGGAAGGAGCAGGTCTAGAAACATGGGCACAGCACCTGAGAAAACCCCTAACAATGCACATAACCCCGAAGGATGGCACAAAATGAGCCAGAAATGCAGATCCAGCGTGTCACAAGTCGGGCAAATCGACGCGGTGCATCAACTTGATCCAGGCTGCAGAAGGCCGCGCGCTGGTCAGAAGTGGATCACCTCGGATGGGTATGGCCTGGTACTGGCCTGGGCCTTGGGTCAGAAGCGGGGTTTTGCCGACTGTTCTGCGCAAAGTGCTTGCTTGGGCGGATGGTTGATGAATGGCGTTGGGAGGAAAGAAATATGAAGAAATATGGGGTCTTGGCTTGGGGTTGAGAACACGAATGTTTCACCTCTTGAGTATCCAAGTTCATGTTTCACAGATTGGGCCTCCTTCATCCGGCTGCATGTCACTGGCCCAGGGCCATTTTTCAGAAAAGGCGAAAGGCCTGCCACCACCTTGCGCAGAATGTGCGCAAAACACATATGGTTCTCGCCGGTTTCAATGCCCCTCAGCCGTCTGGTCCACAGCAGGGCCCCGTTTGTTCGAAAGTCAACCTGCTCGCGTGCCTCAGCTTGGAATTCCCGTGCGCCGTACTTGCACGCGCGGTTTCAGAATTATAAAACACAACTATCGGCTCGGAGGTAGCAACGGCGGCTCTCATGTGATGCGTGTCCGACATTGCCAAATCGCCGATGCAAATACTGTGCAACTGAACACGCAGAACTCCCAAGTATTTCTTCCAGATCATTCCGGCATGCTACCAAACCGCCCACTTCTGTGTGAAGGGAGCCGTCGAGCGTACCGTGAGACACAGTTTGTACCCCTCAAGGTTCATGTGCTGGGCTTGGGCCCGATGATAAAGTGATGCCTGAGCGAGGTGTGAAACATCAAACACCAAAACAACAACAGATCAACTCGTCAAATTACAACATCCTCGCTTGCCATTCGCAGGTTCGGGATTTTTTGACCCCCAAGTCTCCAACAACTCAAAAATGGCCGACGGGGTTGGTTTGGCCTAGGGCCAGCAAACGTTTTGCCGTCAGAACTGCCCCCCCCCCCCCCTCAAAAAAAAAACAAACGAGAAAACCCCCCCCCCCCGCATCGCCGAAGGCGCGGTCGCGGGGCGTGTGGGGCGCGGTGGGCACGTGGCACACGGAGCCCGCCCAGCCGCCCAGGCGGATCCGCGAGCGAAGGAACCTGCGGATCCGTCTTCGGCTGGGTGCCATCGATGGGAAAAGGAACAAAAAGGAACCCCTCATTCTTAGAGGTTCCTGTTGGGAGGGGGGTCCCCTAAAAGTTCCAGCTTAAGACGCACCCATGTATAGATTCGAGGATCAGTTTGACATGTGAAGTGAATCGAACATGTCCAGACATGCTCGGAGGAAAATCATGTAGGGTTATCTGCCATCCGGAGGGACTCACAGCCTCCTATTCAGCAACATCAACTCGGCTCCGTCCCGTTGGTAACAACCGGCACTACACGTGCCCGTTCTGCTTATTGCTTTAGAACCTGGTGCGCGTCACCGCACTTGAGCCTGAAAACCATCCCCTTCCCTGTCGCGATGGCTCGGGCCTCAGCATTGACTGGCCTCCGCCCTGCGACATGCCTGGCCAATTGCCGGGGAACCGAAAACCACTCTGACCGAGCGCCCGCCTCCATCTGTCCAAAACAAGGGTTCATCGAAAACACGAGTGCATGCAAAGCCTTCGGGGGAAGCCGCGTGCATACTCAATATGCACGCGGAAACAAAACGCATGAAAAACAACAACACCCTCTTCCAACTGAAAAGGGCCTGCTGAAAATCCGTGTTTGCAGCCACTAGAATCCTGTCCGACACGTGGACTGACTGAGGCGAGGGCAGGGTAAAGAAAAACAGGCAAAGATTTGTCTTCTCAACCTCCCCTTCGGCTTCTTACACCGCGATTCCGACCAAACTCTACACAAATGGACATTCGCCACAGCCAACTTCTTCCTGCGCAGCCCGCCCTCAACCGCCCACGCTCGCAAGGAGCGCCCATCAGCACGATGCGCTCGCTCTGGCCGTTGAGCAGCGCCGCCTGCGGCATTCGAAGACCGAAGGCTCGCCATGAGGCACAGCGCCAGTCGTTCATTGCATTCGTTGCTGACGCATGCCCGGTCTTTGGTCTGATTGGAAATCACCCAGCCTGCTAAAACAATTAGCTCGGGCGTGCATCTCTGAAGTCAACCTCTCCTTTTTCTCGTCAGGTTTGATCAATCACCCCGTCTCCTAGAGAAACAATGTAAGCCTGCGACTATTCTTGAATTCAGGCGCCCGAGCTTTTCCGCAGGTTCAGCAATCCGCTCCAGCATCGCACCCCTACCACCATGCACCCGGATGCACGCTGCATATCAAACCCGCCACCCCTCGCAAGGTGCATTGAAAAACAGGCATCAACTTGGCATGGCCCTGGCATGGTGCATGCTTCGAAAGCTTCTTCCAACGGTGAAACTTTGGCGTCTCAGAGTGGCGAACCGCGAGTCACTCCTTCGCAGTCGCGGGCCCCAACTTGGCACCAGAACCCTTGGGACTCACAAACTGAAGCTGGGCAGTCACGCCCCTAGGCCGTCTGTCAAGGGAAGGGTAGCCAAAGCCCACATGAACCAACAACTTGAAGCAAGGCAAACATCGCATGTGCCCTCCCTTGAGCAAATGCCACAAAGATTGGGAAACCAATCGGAAGCTATCGACCTACTTTCCTGAACTTCGCATGCTGAGAAGGACCGCTTCAGGTCCTTTTGTTTTCTTCGATGATGTCAGCAATGGCAGGGTGCCAGGGAAAGGCAATGGGGGGGAGGTTTTGCTGGGTGATTTCCGGACCCAACCTACACATGGAGCGAGATGTGTGCACAGCCCACACAACTTCGACATTAACGCCTTATGGCACGAGCATCTAGAAACTCAGTTCAAGACCCTTACTGGCACAGGCTGCCACCATTTTACCTAGATTCATCTAGATTCCCATGGTCGGGCTGACCATCTCCCTCAAAAGGCTTCCTCACAGCATGGCATCCTTTCAACAGCGCTATCCACGTTCAACTTGCTTTCAGGCTCCTTCGCGCCAACCTCTTCCGCCTGGCATGCGTCAGGGAACAATCCTTGCACTGAGCCTGGACATGCCTGGACCCTGATCCAGTGGCACATTCAGTTTTGGGATACCTCAAAGCCAAGCACATAGAGCTGTGCCCAAGAGAGGCACACATTTGGCAAATCTTACAGCAAGCCCCCTGGCAGCCAAATCCCTATCTCAGTTCAGATTGGGTTGCCATTCTGTCAGACGTTGCCCTCGGAAAAACTTTCCGAAGCTGGGGCCCTGGGGCCCTGGGGCCTGGGGCGCTGGGGCCCTGACGACGCCCGTGAGGCCGATGCCCAGCTCTGACAGCACGATCTGCATGCAAACCACCTGGCAACCAGTCGCTCGGGAAACCCAGCAGAAACCCACGAGTGGATGCATGTGTGTGTGTGTGCTTTTTCGAGGGTACTTTGTTTTTGTTTGGGGGGGGGGTGAAAGGAGATCTCTTGGACAGCTTTCATATGAAAGTGCCCCTTTGTTGACGCGCACCCAGATACCAATGAACAAGCCACTAAATGAAAGGGCGTGGGTACAAACTGTCCCCCCTTTTCAACCAGAGGCGAACCGTCGAAACATATGCCGAAGGGTTGAGAGCTTGACAACATGCTATTTCCACAGCCAGGGTTGCCTGGTAACAAAGGGTCAACCTCTTGGATTGCCCAGGAAAGACTCCACTAAGAACTCAAACTTTGGAAGCTTGTATGTTGGTCAAAGCCTTTGGGCCAGACTGAACGAGTCCGAGCAAGGTAAACTAAGAGGCGCCATCACGTGAAGGGTGCTGGCGCAAAAGGCACGAGGACGCCAGTCATGGGAGCACGTCGGCACTTGCATGCAAAAATGTGCGGGAAAGACATGTGCTGGCGCTATCTTCTGTGCTGTCATGACTGGCACCTGCTGCGAGTATGTATCCAAAATGGAATGCTTGGAGCAACCCCCAAAGGAAACCTCATCCGACTTGGACCTACGTCAGAAGCCAAGGAAGTAACGCGCTCGGTGCTGCCAAGGGGCAGGCAACAACATGGCCTCAAAACGCGTCGAATGCACAGTTTCGGGAAAAGGAAACGATGCCGTGACGCAAATTGCCTCAAAAGCCTGAAGATGTGCCATCTGTCCGGCTACCATTGCAATTGTTCCTGCGCAGGCAGTCCCCTCGAACCTGCCGCTGCAGGTTTGTGGGTTCTTTGCAATAGTCGCATCATAGCGCCCAAGCAAGGCCCTCATGCCTTGACCACACGAGAAGTTATACGAGTGTGTCCGTCAGGTCTTATGAGTGTTTATCCAAAAACAGCAGTCCCCTCATTTATGAGGCTTTGACATGAACGGCTTGCCGGGAAGGAAGGCGAACGATAGCAAGTGATCCAACCAAAACAAACACCAGTTTCTGAAAGGACTGCGAATTTTGTCTGCCATCTTGCACCTTGCACGAGGCAGCGGTGCAACAAATAGTGAACCACAAAGCCTGAGACCAACTTACAGGTTTGTGCCGACGCGCGCACAACTCGCCGAGATGCCACGATCATGTTCTGGTGAGGGTCCATGCCTGGCGGAGCGCATGCTCTGGGAAAGAATGCAGAAGACAAACGCTTCACTGGAGATCTCCGAGCAAACAACTGGAGATCGAAGGAAGCCATGTGCCACTGACTGAAAACGGGACACCTCGCTCGAATTCGGTCTGAGGCCCCGGGCTGGTGAATATCCTGGATAGAAGACCACCAGCACATACCCCCGACCTGCCCATCCCGAGCGGCAAGTTCTGCCGCAGGTCTCCCGAACGCAAACAAAAAGAGTCTAATAAACCCTATCATCCAAAAACCAAAATCCCCCCCGCCCCAACTCCCCGCCTTCCAAGAACCAAAATCACCCCCCCCCCCAAAAAAAAAAAAAAAAAAAGAAGAAGAAGAAACACCTCCCCCCGCCCTGCAAACATCAAACAAACAAGAAAGCACCCTTGAAACAAAGCCGGGCCCCAGGTTCTGGGGAGGGGTGCTCTGAACAAACCTGCCGGGCGGCTGGATGGCCAAGTGGGCGGACAGCATCACCGTCTCGCTCCTGGGGAAATTGGGCAATGGTCGAATGTGTGTGGTTCCTTTGTTCAGGGAACATGTTTTTCTTTTTTTGTTTGGGGGGGGGGGGTGGGGGGTGGGCTTAGAAGTGAACCAAAGATAACCAATTTTGGGGTAGCTTCCTTTCCATTTTCAAGACAACCTCCCATGCCTCTTGCAATTCTGACGCTTTTGCTGAACATCTTTTTGTGCATGGAGTGGTTGAACAGCTTTATTCTCAAAACCCTTGGTGACACAACAAGGTCCCATGACCAAGTCAGACTGGACATGAAGTAACGGCAACTTCGCTCCAGTCCAAGAGAAATACGGGCAATTATGCCAAGCAAGTGAAGGTTCTCACGTGCAGGCCTCGGTATTGCGGTATGGATATCGGCCATGAACCGTAGCCAATGACAACTTTTTGGCAGCGCCACAGGTAGCCCTTCTCAACACCTTGGCCCAAGACATGTCAGGCCGTTCGAAGCTTGAACGTTGGTTGAAGCACGTCAGCTAAGCCCAAACAGGCACTTCAGGATGGCCTGCTGCAGTGCAGGATTCTGGCGCATGTTCATTCCAATGCCTCATTTGTGCGCCAACCCCTCCTGGGCCCATGCTTTGTTGCCCATGAGCTGAGCGGGGCGGAAGTGAGGCAGTTGCCTTGGACGACGCAATGCTCTCCATGCCCCGATCTACTGATACCGGCCTCAAGAAGAACACGAAAGCCAACCAAGCAAACCAAATTGCCGCCAAAGCATGGCTGGGAGAAGTTCGTCCTCCTGGAAAACGAACAGCTTGACGATCGGTCCAAAAACCAGCCGACTTTGCTTGGCAAAGGTCGGCGTCTCTGGATCTCTGGATTTCGGCTAGGTGGCCGCGGCCAAGGTTAGAGGGGAAAGGCAGCCGCGTACCCGGAGGGCTCTACCAACTGGCCCATCCGACCGTGTACCAACAAAACCGGAATCAAACATATGCCCCCACCAGGGTGAGTCAAGCCCTTGTCTCTTGACACGCTTGCAGCTGTCTTTGTCAACTTTTCGTGGGTCGCAGGCTTCGCTTGTAGCACATGTTGCTACAATTCGAGGGAGAGGCCTGACCCAATGATCAGCCGAAGGTGCCAGTGTAGAAGAAGGCCGATCCAAGCCTCAGCGAACGAAGGGAGAAAAGAAAAGGCCCGAAGCAACTCGCTTGACCTGCCCACGTGCGTGGCACCCTACCAAATGGTCGGATGGTCTTACAACCCTAAGAACCCTGGGAGAGGGTGCCTGGGCGTCTTCCCTACCATCCCTACCCATGCAGCCGGGTCTGGAAGGCCGACAGCAAACGCCAGGCTCGCAAAGAACAAGGACGGCCTCTTGCAGCTCAGATCCTTCCGACTCCAGCTTGCGGCATGTATCAGCCTAGGGGCAAGAACAGCCCCAGTCCTTAGCTTGGCTCCGCGCGCTTTGCGCAAGGCGCTAGGGTTGTCAAATACTGGACCCCTTCATGGCTGCGTTGCGGCATTGATGGCTCCAAGGCGCAAGGTTTCCTGTTCTTGTGAGCGCAACGGCTTGCTTCCAGGCTTCTGGAACTCAACGATGGGCCGCCACTAAGGCAAGGGGATAAATTTCAAGGAGAAACTACGTGGAATTCAGGGGCTGCGGGTTGAACCGATCTATGCTCCGCTCACATGTCCGTTCTGCTGCACTTCCTGCTAGTTGCGACACAGCTTCTTACGAAGGCGCTGGACCCCATCACATCCTCCATGAGTGTTGTCTCCACATCTGAGGGCATGCGGAACATAAGCACCTCAGACTCAAATGAAGGAGTCCCAGAAAGTGATTCTAGCCTGACGGACCCACCCTCCCCTCCCAACCCCCCCCCCAAAAAAAAAAAAAAACAGCAAAGAATCTAAGGTTGCCCTTGCCACCACTGGGGTTTTCCTGGAAGCTTTTCCGCTCGGCTCCCTTTCTCGCTCCGTCGGCTCCGGACTCACGGCGGCGATTCGAGCCAAGAGGCAAGGCCGAGGAGCTCCAAACACTCGCAGCTGCGGATCATTTGATGATCCGAGTAGTGCTGGCACAGCAAGACCTCAGCTCTTCCAACGGCCGGTGGGGTGGCTTCCACACCCCCCCCCACCCCAAAAACAAGAAGAAGCCAAAGGTCTGGGAGGAGGTCTGAAGAGCTGGAACGGAACTCTAGGTCTTCCAAACCAAGAAAAGGGGTCAAAGGGTCTGGGAGGGTGGTCGTTGGAACTGGAACTCAAGTGGTAGGAGATAAATGCCCCACGTAAATGATGTCCACTCAAAGAAGCGGCTTTTGTAGGCCCAGATTTCCGGCTGGGAAGGTTCAAGCCGGTCCAGTCCCGGGGAGCTGCTTCCGCTCCGGATAGGTCCGGACCCCGACGTGGGCCAAGGAAGGGCACCACATGCAATGGCCACATGGCGGATTTGACTGGGGGGTCCATCTGGGTTCAAGTGGCAAATGCTTAAATCCCGCTTGAATCTGATTTCGGCCCGCTGAGGACAAGGAATCGTTGCCGTGTATCAAGGCACGGTTCGTACGGTTCGTGCGGCCGAAACTTCTGGTTGCGTGGGGCACCCGGCTTTTCCCCCCAGAGACGTGTCAGCTCAAAGCTGTGCGGCCCAACCGGCTCCAGCGCGGGTGCGAGAGTCTGGGCGCCGGGCAAAGACGCCTTGGCCGGCCATGTAAAGACAGAAGGTCGCGGTGATGCCTCGCTGCAATCGCAAACGCACGCGACACATCGGAGACATGATGACATTGGTGCATGCGCATGCCTAGGACTTGGAAGGTTCCCAAAGAGCCCCACTTGGTGGAACAGTTTGTACATTTGCCTGGAGGAGTCTATTTCTTGGCAATTAAAAACTACCAGGAATCTTTCAAGCAGAATGGGGAAGCAATACTGAAGCCCAAAGCTCTTGGCAACATCCAGGCTGTGCCCAAAGTTGTCGGGATAGGCCGCGATGTCCAACGCCAGGCCGGCTGAGAACTGGACATGCAAATGGGAGAACTGGACAACACAACACACAACGCTTTGCGCCATGGCTGGAGCCCATTCAATTGCCGCCCGGTACCAAGCTGCCGTAACCAGACTTCTCATGGCCCAAGCAGAAATGCGTCGCCAAAACGATCCTTGGCTGCAGCTGTTCCCAGACACCGTGTGGCCATGGGAAGGGCTGGGCAGCTTCGGGATCGGCATGGCCACCTGTTCTCACAGAGGCCTGCCTGCAAGTTCTAAATCGGGGCCTTGTGTCCAAAGCCGCGCTTTTTTTTTTTGCTTAATCCATCCATCCAGCGATGCTCACCAACACTTGCCGAACGCAATACATGTTGGCAAACACCATCTGCTTTGCATCCAGCGGATGCTTTCTGACCCATAGTCCGAAACCATGAATCGGCAGCTCTGCTGCCAAGCGGCACGGCAGCCTCAGGCAGGCCATCTACCCAAAACATGCGAAAAGTGATTTCGATTGGCGAGGTTCGATCGAAACCAGGAAGGGTGCTAGTGGCTGAACCTGGCTGTGCGGTACCTTGATCTGGGCCTAGACGAAGCACGCCCCATTCCACGGTAACCGTGCTTCGACGGAAGGCGAGAATCTGCCATGTTCAAGCTGATTGTCCCGTCAACCTTTGACTGCTCACAGTCCCCTCCGTGTTCTGCCCAACCTCTTTGCCCAGTATGCCAAATACAAAAGCAGGAAACAGCAAACGTGGAGGCATAGCGCGGGTCTGAGATTTATTTTTGCTTTGCAAGGCTCCTCACTAGGATCACTAGGGAAAGGAGCGACAGCATGGCCGCCAGCCAATGGCCTGCCCTCTTGTTGCTGGGGTATGCGAGAGCCAAGCTCCCTCAGCCAAGCTGCCGCTTCCCATGCGAGGCGCAGCAGCAAGCGAACCACAGTGCTGCCGCTCAGTGTCAGCTGCACCGTCCATTCTTTGGCCGCAAGCACCTACGATCGATCCGCGCACGAATGCGACTGGGACATCAAAACAATGCTGCGAAAAGAACAACGAGAGCTCGCGATTTGCTTGCGAGCAACAAAACATCTCAACACTGGCCTGCCGACAATTTGGCGGGCCTTCTTCTCTGATCATGCCACCAATTCTAATCTACACTTGCCTTCCTGCATTGTGCCACCGCAACTGAATACGTGGTACGTTGATGGCAAAACAGCGTCGTTGCAACGCCGGGACAAACTTCAATCAAGCCAGGTATGCGGAAACACCGCACACACACATGACTGACAAACCTGCATTGAACACATTTGGTTTAAAGGGTCGTGGTGGGTGGAACATCCGTGAGGCCTCTGTTGGCAAGCTTCAAGCTTTTTCAGAGTGCTGCGCTGTGTCCGCCCCTCAGACTGTACAGTGGTCCACTTTTGGGACGCGAGCTGATGCAGTTCCCCATGCGGAACTGCAACTCTTCTTGCAGTTCTGCCCTGAACATCAGGTCTGAATCGCTATATTTACAATGAACTGAGGTATTCCATGACCGCGCTTTTCGAAACAACGTCCCCGTTCTTTGCGTTCATGTCGAACAAGTTGGACTCGTGGATGTTCTCTGTGCGGTCACCCACACACTCCCGAGGCACCACACATCTGAAGCCATGCTGCATGCCGTCTAGCACGGATGCCCGAATGCATCCGCTGGTTGAGCAGCCAATGATGATACACGTGTCAACCCCCGCAGCCCGCAAATTGCACGCAAGATTGGTCCCAAAGAACGCTGAAGGATACTGCTTGACAAGCACACTGTCTCCCTCCTGCGGCGCAATCGAGCAGTTGATCTCACAAAGATGGTTGTCACGTGTCCATGTCCGAAGTAGTGGAATTTTCTGTGTAAAAACCCCTCCATCCGTGGGATGCTCATAGTACACCTTCGTGTAAAAGATCGGGACGCTCTTGGAACGGGCTAAGTCCAGAAGCGGCTTGGACTCAGTGACGGCATCTACCACCCCAAAGCCTTTGCCGGGGCAAAACCACGGGCTGCCCTCCGTGGTATACGCCTTTGTGAAATCAATCACGATCACCGCGCTCTTCTTGCCGAAGCCCAGACTCCCATCGAACACGCCCTTCCCCGCATTCGCTATGGCCTCCTCTGACGGCTCGGGCGGTTTCGGCCAGGCAATGCGCAATCTCTTGGCCGGCTTTGGTGGCCCGTCCAGCTTTGACAAGTAGTCCATGACAACCTGTGCTTGCAGCTTTGCGGAACCAATGTAGCAGCAATGAGTGTCAAGGCAAGCGGATGGCGCAACAACAAGAAACATGGGCTGTGTACAATCATGGCCGCAGCTGCTCTCAACAGCTCCAGTAGCTGAGCAAGTGATTTCGTCGAGCCTCAGGGCCTCAAACAAACGTGCGAAACATGTTGAGGGTGCATCCTTGTTGCTACTATCGCCCTGCACTGCAAGCAACCACAGGACTCGAAAAACACGATGCCATGCACTGTCCTGCTCACCTGCAACGCCAAAATTTGTGGCCACAGCCTCCAACCAGCACCCATGTAACACCCCAATCACACTCTGCGGGCAGAACCTTTGGCAGCACCCTGCAACAGCTTTCCAACTCAAACAAAAAGAAGCAGGACCTGCCACCCTACGCTACCTCCCCAACAATCAAACTCAAGAGCAACACCCTGCGGCACACCTTGGCCCTGAGCTCCAGCAACGGCATCCTGCTACAGCTCCTTTCTTAAAGCTACAACCCCCTGCCATAGCTTTGGGCTTCTCGGGGTAAGAAAACCCCTCCGAACCAAGAAGCACTTTTGGCGACCACGTCCCCGTTCTTTGCGTTCATGTCAAACAAGTTGGACTCGTGGATGTTCTCTGTGCGGTCACCCACACACTCCCGAGGCACCACACATCTGAAGCCATGCTGCATGCCGTCTAGCACGGATGCCCGAATGCATCCGCTGGTTGAGCAGCCAATGATGATACACGTGTCAACGCCCAAAGCGCTCAAATTGCACGCAAGATTGGTCCCAAAGAACGCTGAAGGATACTGCTTGACAAGCACACTGTCACCCTCTTGCGGCGCAATCGAGCAGTTGATCTCACAAAGATGGTTGTCACGTGTCCATGTCCGAAGTAGTGGAATTTTCTGTGTAAAAACCCCTCCATCCGTGGGATGCTCATAGTACACCTTCGTGTAAAAGATCGGGACGCTCTTGGAACGGGCTAAGTCCAGAAGCGGCTTGGACTCAGTGACGGCATCTACCACCCCAAAGCCTTTGCCGGGGCAAAACCACGGGCTGCCCTCCGTGGTATACGCCTTTGTGAAATCAATCACGATCACCGCGCTCTTCTTGCCGAAGCCCAGACTCCCATCGAACACGCCCTGATAGTTTTCCTTGTTGCCCTCTGCAGCTTGCATGGCTTTGCCACACCGCGCTTTTAGAATGAGCTTTCATGCTTGCCTGTGACGTGATCATACTTTGCCTTTGCTGAGGTTGATTTGCAAGGCGGATATTCTGCTCTTGTGTTCTTTTCCTTCATCAGTTCCTCTGGAGTGCTCAGCTTGGGCCCCGCGGCGGAGACACCAACGACCAGTTCTGCTTGTTGAGTCAAGGTCTCGGAAACCAAGGGCTGTGTGCTCCGGTTCGCCCTTTCCAGAAACAGGGATCCTTACATTATACACCTGAACATTGCCTTGTAAATGGTGGTTTCCCCGTATTTCGGTGGAAAAGCCATGTTTCAAATGGGCAAAATGTATCCTTTAAGGAGCCCTGAGAACACAATGACACAAGCTGTAAGAGTTAAAATGAGCACGCTATGGCATTTCACAGGGCAGGCACATGTAAGGTTAACGTCCTGCAACGCAACCCACCCTTCCCTCACAGCTGTACATCTAAAATCAGATAAAACCTGGGGAATCTGCTCCAAACCCGGGAATGGGTCATTTTTGGTGTAGAGGTTTGCAATAAGTCCGCCAATCCCAAGTGGCCCCAAGCCCCAATGGAGCTCCCAAGCGATGCTTGCTGCTGGCAAGCAGCAGGGGCCACCGGCAGCATCTCTTTGCCTGGGCCAGTTGCTTTGAGGCGGGTCTCTTCGGCCTTGCTTGACACCTGCCAAACCTTTGACTTCTTGCCAGGTGATGTCACGTTCAAGGCAAACACGTGCAAAGAATCACGTTCCTTGGCGGGTCGGAGCAAAAAATAACCAAGCCTTCAGCCGATCAAGTCCAGTGTTCTCCAAAGGGGCCTCAAGCTGCGTGGCTTGCGCCTAAGACTCCCTTAACGTCCTGCACCATGTTTGTGTTCCCCATGTTTCTACACAAGCCCCCTTCCAAAGCTTAGCCATGGGCACGGACAAGCACACGGAGTCAGACCTGGAAGCCATTATTTTTAGAGTAGGTCATCAAAACGTCTTCACCTCTCCAACACTTTGATCCGAATCCGGTCCTTTCAACGAAGGTGTGTACACAAACATGGCCAATCATCCCCGAGCCACCTCAATCAAGGCTTTATCCAAAGAACGGACCAAACATAGAAACCAAAACGGACCCGACACAAGACAATAATCGAATGTCAATTTCATTTTGCCGCATGTCCTATCATCAGTTTTGCCCTTCAACAGAACGCGCTAGCAAACACTGGGAATCGTTTAGCATCAACGTTATTCCCACTATTTTCCTTATTTTCTATGTGCATCCTAAAGCAATGTTGGCGGTAAGGATAATCATTGGTTAGGCGGTCCAGTATTGTTGAATACATTGGCAGAATCTATATTAGCGATAGCAAACAACCTATTCTCTTCTGAATGGACATGCTTCTGGCGCTTGAGAGAGCGAACCAACACCGCAGCGGAACTTGCGAGCTCTGCAAATAGTTCCCTTGTTGCTTTGGAGTCCCCGTTCAGTTTGGTTTAAACGGGAGCCAAAAGGCAAAACCCACACACTTTGTGAGATAAGCCAATTTTAGTTGGTGCTTAAAGGCAAGCCAAGAGGCAAACCACCCATCTCAGCTTCCGTTTTCTTAAGCCCCCTGGGAAAAATCTAGTCGTAATAGATTCCCTCTAAAACCAAGAGAGGAAAATCACCAGTATTCTTAAGCAACTGGATCTTGGGGTCCCCTACGCAACCCCATGCACAGCCCCCTTAGCCCGAACCCGGCCTGAGATGCTCAGCTGCGCGCTGCTTGGGAAGAGGGCAGACACCAGCAGCAAAAGGACTGGCCGAAGCCCATCGAAAGGCCAAGGACAAACATCAGCTTTCCCCCGAAGGCTGGTTTGGATTCTGGATGGGTTTTCCACCAAGGGAAATCCAAATCAACCCTCCAAATCACCAACCCAACTCACATCTTTTAAGGGTTACCTGAGACAAGGCCCGCTCTTACTCCAGCCATGAGGCCCCCTTTTGTTCGCTACCCCGGAGCATCGCAGTCTTCACAGCCCTTGGGCAACAAGCTGCACGGCAAACAAAAGGGTAAAGGGTGAAGGTCCCTGTATTAAAAAGAGGGCCCAGAATGTGTACCTTCAGCAGTTCCCGCCAATTCCAGCCATGATGCATGACCCACCTCACCTTTTTTCATGCCAAAGGACATCTATGGGATACCTGCGCAAATCCCTGGATCGAGCAAGGAGCTTCCCAAAAAAATCGGTTTTTAGCCGCGCCCAACCGGCGCATCACAAAAAAAAGAACGCGCCGATCGGAACCCGGCGGGTTGAAAGCTGCCCTTCACCTTGGCCAACCAAACTCCAGTTGGTTAACCCCCCAGGAAAAATAAGAAATACGTCCAGTAGTGATGAACTCCTGTTAAACCAAGGGAAAAGAACAAGTTTTCTTAAGCAAATGGAGGCAAAAAAGCGCAGAAGCCCTGCTTACGAGATGTGCGCAAGACGCACATGGCCCAGGCCTGCCGCGGCTGCGGCCACAGAGAGCGTCATGAGCCTTCGATTCGATGGGGAAGGGGGAAGGGGGGAAGGGCCATGCGGATCGAAAGGGGAGAGTTTTGAAAAGCAGCGAGGTACCAAAATTCGCCGGCTAAGCAGTGAGCCAGTGCGACTAGGCTGCAGGCCGTATTGCAGAAAACCAGGAAATCCGGTACCGAAGCAAGCGACGCTTCGAAGGCCTCCCCCGCCAAAGGTCTCAAGTGAAAGGCGGGCCCAGATTTGGTGAGGCCGGTGTGGGCCATCCATACCCCAATGCCCGAAAAAGGATCTTCTGCCAGAGTCAAAGTGCGAAACGCCCACAGTCATTGCATGTTAGCGCGGGGTCCTTCCAATGAGCTTCGGCTTGACTGAAGTTGATCCACACGGAACCTCTAGAGTCCTAGATCCGACTTGCCACCTTTTCAGGAAAGCCCTCTCTCGAGGGACGCTCTCGAAAGTGTCAAGCAGCTCGCCGGTGCCCGGGAGCAAATCGTTCCAGGCGCTGCCTGCCATCTCAGACTGGGCTAAGTTGAGCAGTTTTTTGGCTTGGGGGATGGGACTTGAAACGGGCACACGCTTTCCACGTCAGCAGCAAGGTGTTCAGGCCCCACCCGAGGACAACGTAAGGTGTGATGATGATCGCTGCAAAAAGCCAGCCCGAGGACAACGGAAAGTGTGATGATGTGAAGAAAGGGTGGCCTGTCACGCGAACACGCGAAGTCGGGTGATGCTTTGCAAGCCTCAGCATGGTAGCGGTAGCATGCCGAAGTCAAATGAAACTGAATTCGGGCTTCGTGCAGCAGGAGTTGATGCTCACGCAGCAAGGGGCGCAAGAACTGTGTTTGTGGACTTGCCAGCCTGCCAGCCACACAAATCCAAACACATCTAAACAACACCCAGACAATCAAGCAACCCATGGCCCAACAGGGGTCACTGGATTTCCCCCTCAAAGCTTGCAATGATTTGCAATGTACGGGTGGTTTCCACTGAAACTGCCACGGATGAAGGTTCCAAAAAGGGGAATGGCTCGGACACCCTGCCTAAAGCAATCTCAAGTTTAACCGAAGCCCCAGGTGGCGCAGCCCAAGTCTGGAGCTGGGTTTCGCTGCTCAACTCGCTTCCCCAAACTCAGTCTAGCACACCTGCCTGAAAAGGTTCAGGGGGCCATTTTTTGCAAGATGGTTGCAAGCTTGTTCCAGTTTGCATCGACAGCATCGACAGGTGGGTGCTTTGGGTTCGCAGCGGGTCACTGCAAGCATCACCAGCATCATCAACACGCATTTCAAGAAGCTGCGCATCCAGACGGTTCCGAACCCCCAAAATTGGTTGACCATGGCTTGTAATTGTGAGGGTGCCTCCCCAAAAGCTTAGTGTTGCTCTTTGGTTTTCCTTAAAAATAAGTTTCAAAAAAGGGTTGAGGTGTGTTTTGTTGTACTAGCACCGGCATTTTACTGGCCCCGGCTCAGCACAAGACCATTTTTATGTAGGTTGGGAGCAACAGGCGGTATTTTGTGGGGGCCTAGTTGGCCAAGCTGGGGTCGGGTTGGTGGGCCGCATCCCCGGCATCCCCAGCATCCCCAGCATCACCGGCCTCGCTCGAACTAGGGCTGCCTATTGGCTTTGATTTGGGCTCCGGGCTGGTTTCGGGTGAGTGTTGGGCCTGCTGAGGTCTTGTCTAAAGAGGGCGGGTCGGCTTTGTAAAGGGCTGATATCCAGGATGCTTTGGGGAGGGTTTAAGGTTGACTCTGAGTCGGTTTGGGTTGGCTTGGAGCTGATTTGCGCGAGGTGTGCAGCACGGCTTTTGGGCTGCTTTAGGGATGTGGTTGCACAAGGTTTGGGTTGGTTTGGGTGGCTTGGGGCACGCCCCACAACCACCAAAAATTGCACAACCACATCCCTGAAGCAGCCCAAATGTTACTGCGAAAACTGTGCCGCACACCTCGCGCAAATCAGCTCCAAGCCAACCCAAACCGACTCAGAGTCAACCTTAAACCCTCCCAACAGCATCCTGGATATCAGCCCTTTAAAAAGCCTAAATGAACCCCAAACAAGCCCAAGACTCGCCCAACACTCACCCGAAACCAGCCCGGGGAGCAACTCTCTGCCACCAAATCAGTGGGTTTTGGGCATGCTGGGAATGCGGCCGCCCAGCTGACCAACCAACCAACCAACCAACCCACCCACCCACCCACCAACCAACCAACCAACCAACCAACCAGTCCCCTGGCCGGGGCTAAGCCCGAGCCGGGGCTAGGAAAAAAAAACACCGCTTCCCCAAAAAGGGTACCACCATTTCCTCCCATGGCCCATGGCCCGACGGGAGTCGGGAGTCGCCGCGTGCCTGCCAGCGCTGAGGCAATGGCCGGGCCACCCACCAGGCCCGCAGCAGTTCCCAGCTCCCAGTACCCGAAGATCCTGACATCGCATTCGCTCAGGTCATTCTCCGCTTGGCAGAGAGAATGGCCACGCTTGGCTGAATGAACCGGTCGAATGGGAATTCCGAATAAAATAAAAACCATCAGTTGGAGTTTTTTTTCTTGGGGTCATTCCCTTTCTGATTCCCTGCTGAAGACTGGCAAGGTGAATGGTCAAGATCCGGAAAGTGTAGCTATTCCTCTTGCCACAGGGGGGGGGTTGGAGTGATTGGTGTTTCCTAAGATTAGGAATCCAGCAGGTTTGACAGTTTCCGTTTCCGGAGACTCATGGATTGTGGAGAAATGACGCAAGCCACCACCTTGTGGCAATTCTCATCGTATGCCTGGAGCAAGAGCATCTAACCCATCTGTAGCTTTCAGTTGCATGGATATGAAGGTGGACGCATGGTTGGCCGCAGCGAGGTCCGCAGAAGTGCAAGGCTGCAAAGAACTGGGAGCCCCGATGTCACTTGGATTCAGCTTGGCCCACAATTGAGCGAAGCACTTTGAACCTGTTCAGAAACTGCTGGCCAAGGTGCCGAGTGCGCTGGTCAGGCGAGCCTTATGAAGCAGTGCGCAGCACACTGACGCGTCCATGACTGGGTTCATTTCTTGCTTTTTCCGCAAGCTTTCAGTACTGCCTGCAACCAAGTACCTACAATCATTCGGTCTCCCAAACGCCTGAAACCACCAGCTCTGCAACAAACACCGCTTGTGGTGAACCCAGGCAGCTTTCCCAGGAGCTTCAGATCGCTTTGCTTGGGGTACTTGTGGATTGCTTCAGACGTAGCATGGACCTGGACATAAAAGGTGGGCACGCTTTGGACATAGAAACCGATTTATGGCTACCAGATTACCACATCAGGGACACCAAAAGCGGATCTAGTCGATTCGCCTTGGTCGCATGGCCAATCTGAGGACCCAATCGAGCTCCAGGCTGAGCCGAGCTAGGTACACGTGGCCCAAGTAGAGCGCGCCTGCCCCGAAACGGGATGCATCCGACTCACAGTTCGCGGCCGCAAGCGGCTTCAACTCGCTTCAGTAAACATGAGCTGGGCTTCCATGGTGCCTATGGCCAAGAAAAACACCTAGGTCCTCCAGTAGAGAGCTTGGAATAAGGGTACCCGATTTTTTTCTGTAGTCTATTTTCGTAGGGGAACCCAAAACCCCCAAAAAGAAACGGTAAAGGGGCACTGGGGGACCTAGACACTATGCCCACCGGCCACGGCTTTCCTTCCGTAAGATATATGCCTTCCCGCCTTCACCCAAGCCGCCCAGGAAGCGCAGGCAGATCATGAGAGCCAGGCCTAGGACCCGTCCGTCGGCTCTCCGTAACTTTTTTTGGTTGGCTTTGAGGGCCCACCCACTTTTTGGGGTCAAAGGCAAAAGAAATACACAATCACACTTCATCCGAGCTGTGCACATAGTTCAGTCTAGACGATGCAGAATGACGTGAACTGGTGCCGCTACATGCATGTGCCGAATCCGCTTTCTTGAGGTGTTCTCCCTCTTCAGTAGGTCCAGGTCCAGCCACAGCCGATTACGACAACCCGGTGGAACCACTGAATGCCTAGCCCCTCAAAGATTCCAACAAGCTGCATCGACTGGAGCACATCCGACACCCAGTCTCAGGGAATAAACCTTCCGACAAAACAACACTGGAACCTTGGACCTCCAAAAACCCAAGCCAAGGAAGTTTTCCGACAAAACGAGCCAAACTTGGACACTGGAGTCCCTTGGATGCACCCAGAACCCAAAAAAACCCAAAGCCCAAGACCCAGCCCCTTGGAACCATTCGGCCTACCGCCCGACTCACCCGGCAGGACTCTCCCTGAGGGCCTGAGGGCCTGAGGGCCCGGACTGGAGCTGCGCAGTGCCACCAGGAAGCCCAGGCTAGAGACCAGCACCTCATGCGGCAGGTTGAGGTGGACTAAAAAAACAACTGGCCGAGTCCAGGCGAAACCCATTTTGACCCATAGGTTTTGAGGTGAGGTGTGGGTCAACCCTGGTACATGGAACACAAAGACTCAATTTCCAGGTGGTAACTACTTTTGTCCCATACCCATGTGCCCTTTGTCCCCGGGTCGTTTAATTTTGATCCATACCCATGAGGAGCTTTTCCGCGAGGGCCCGGAGATGTAACATGTTCAGACCAGGTAAGCAATGACTGAAAGAGGTGTTTTGGTCTGTGAAGGGTGCTTTAACAGCTGTTCAGTGCGCTTGTAAAACTTTCCTTTGAACCCCTCATCTTATGAGTATATCACAGTACCTCAAATCCCGCAGAAAACAGTGGTTTAGATTTTACAATTGTACAGGGTTCAAGGCTGTGCCTCATTGTGCCTCGACCCAGCCAATCCATCAATCAGGTGTTGGAAAACTGGGGGGGTGGACTCGCCACTCTGTCTGGGAAAAACCGCAGGTCCCCGTCAAACGTCCACACGCGATGCGCACTTTGGGGACGCCGGAAAATCTTTCGTTCAGACCCAAGTGAACAGAAGGGGCCCCCAGTTTTAAGAAACACTGTGAAACATGGACCCACCATTTGACCTTTGCTTTCCCTGCACTGAAGCAGAAACCAGGACCTGTGCACTGAACAACTCGACCGCAGTACAGTAATACTGAGACGAAAAGAGAAGGGGAACTCGCCGCAAATAAAACCATGAGTCAGCCAATTCCACCCGCATCACCTGTGCCACTCGATACTTGCTGCATCATCCTTTGCCCAAATGCCTTCATGTCGACATTCTTCATAGGATTTTTTTCCACTGCGAATGCCATGAAAGCAAAGCCAAAACGAAAGTGCTGAAGCTGGTTGAACCGCGTTTGCAAATCCAATCCTCATAGACTCAGACGCTCATGGCTCTCCTTTGGGTAAACTACGCGCACAAAACTTGTGCCTTCAGAAGCAGCCTCCGGCCCACGCATGATAAATAACAAGCTGCTCAGGCATGGAAGAAGGCTCACTTGGTGAGGGTCCGTCAGCAACAGTCAACATGTTGCATAGGCCTCGAAGACTCAGTTCGTTCAAACAACATGCGCAAGGGATGGCTCAGTTCTGTATCAGTTCCTCCCCCCCGAACCAACAGGTCAAATTGGGAATGTGGGATTGGTGATGCCGGATGATCGCTGGGACCGCGCTACTGTCCGCAAGTGCAAGCGACTCGAGAGAGCCATTCCATTTGGGAAAGGTGGAATCCATGCACGAAAAAGCCGAGCACGGGCTCAGATTCTCCAAATTTTCCCGTGGCCAAACTGGGCTTCGACCCATCAAATGGGCATGGACCGTCGGACAGTGCGGCCAAGCCGCCAGCAGGCCTCTCGGCGAAAAAAAAGAAAAAGGGCCCAGCAACAAAACTTGCGCCGGTAAACGAGGCATTTCTCCCTCGCTCTCTCTGCCGTTGCGTCCAGAGGGGCTTGACTCAGCAAGGCAACGAAAAAGGTGTAACGAGGCATTGTCCGGTAACATTTGCAACAAATGCATGGCCCAAGCCCGCAGTTTGCGCCCCCTACAGGTTGTTTGGTGGAATGACAAAGAAGCACTAAATCACGACCAAACTTGGTTCATTTGCGCCAAGCGTTCTTGTGGTGCCCACGTGTTGGCGATGAAGCTTTGGGATATTGCAGGTCGACCCAGCTACGAAGCGTCAGGGCAACTGTCGGTGGGCCAGAAGGATCCGGTGGTGACTAAGGGGCGCTGCCTGATGGGGCGAAAACTGCTGGCCCTGGGCAGTAGGATTTCTGTTAGGTGCAGCAGGGCTTTCCGGCTACCCTACAACCCGTTCCACCTACAATTCCCAAGGCAGCCGCCTGCCACTTGCCAGGATTTGCTTGAACCAGACATCAGAACCAACACAATGACACGAACAAGTGCCAGTCTTCTCGTCTTTTCATGCGATTTGCCATGCGCCAGAAGCAAGCCATAGTAGTGTCGCCTTGCGCGGATTCAATTTCTGACAGGGCACACGCAAGGATGACGGTCTGCTTAGGCTTCCTGAAGGCGACAAAATGCGAACTGCACGAAGCGATCGATCGATCGGCTGGGGCCTTTGGGCTCACTTTGGAGGAGACGAATTTTAGTTGTTCAACGGTGGTGCCAAATGACTATGAGCAGACCTGACTTCACCAGCTCGTCTTCTGCAGGAATTGCCCCAAGACTGCTACACATTCAAGTTGGCAAACGAGCATCAACCCTACATGCTCCCAACCCATGTATTCAGCGTTCTGGCGCTGCTCATTGATAGCTGCACTTGGCACCAATCGGTGAGCAATTGACTTCCAGTTTCCTGTCTTCCTGTTTGAGACGAGCGCAGATTTGTTGGATGGAAGTTTGGACGCTTGAATTCTTCATGCCTGGGCGCAACCTTCCAGATAAGGGTGCTCTGCAGTAAGTTATATGCTACCCCTCACCATTCCCGCAAACGTCCCCAGCTGTCTTCCAAACGCTTCCTCTTGGAATCTTGCTCCAAAGGGCCTCAATCCGCCGCACATCCAACAGCCGCACAGCCAAACACAACGAACGGCACCGAGCCACCCCCGCCCCCGCGCGCATTCCGCGCGCGCCGCGCCGCGCGTGGGTTTTCTGCTGCGGCCCAAGGGCTTGAGGCAGAAGCGTGCCACCAGCATCACCCCGAAGAGACCCCCGAAGGGCTCCGCGGCCAAAATCAGACCCGACGCCAAACCTCGGATGGGAGTAGAGTCTCAGCGAACCTTGAAGCATTTTGTTTTTTTTTGGCATTTGATACAAATCCGTTTCAGGGAACCATCTTTTTTCTTATTTTTTCCAAGAGAAAACTTGTGTGACGTGCTTTTGCCATTGCAAGCAGCTCTGCAAACAAATCTGGGCTGGAGCAATTGATTTCGCGAGCGAGGCCTAGCTTCTGAGAAAAACAAAAAAACATGTTCATGGATCAAACATGTCGCTAACCGTGAGGTCATATGTCTAACGCTGCCATGGCCACAAAGTGACACACCGCCAGTCGGCAAGCGATATTTCAACGGAGCCGTGTGACACCCATATTCCCGAAGGCAGGGGTCCTGTTGGCTAGTGGGCAGCGTTCAATGATGAAGCTCGCGTGAAATAGTTCCAACAATTCTCGAGTGTCTTCTGCGCGCACAAGCACACGCCTCTTGTAGGGTTTCTGTCGCTACCCGCATTTTGTGTAGCCACGGCGGAGCATGAAGTCACTTGGCCGGGGGGCGAAGCTCTCAGCGGGTAGCTTGGCACATGCTGCTATGGTCTATGTAACGGCAACATGCTGGCATGCAAGCAATCTGCGCGATGTTCTGTGAAGCCAGGCATTCCCTACCCCGGTGCTACACCAAGAGCATGCACCCACAAGGAAAAACACCGGTCCAAAGCACACTACACGCCAGCCGCTCCGGTCAGTGTGGGGAACTCCGCGTCTTTGCGCCAAGGCGCCCGCTGCTGGCAGGGTCGTCTCCCCCAACTGCAGCTGCGGCAACTAGGCGACGGTGCGAATTCCACGGGGGCTGGATCAGTAGGCAAATGTAAGTGAACATGTCGTGTTGGGTTGGGTGGCCATGTGTGTTGCGGTGCCTACGTATTGTGCAGGTGGACCTCTATTTGCCGCACAGCACGCTTACATTCAGATGTAACACGCAGCGCAGGCAAGCACTAGCTTAGGCTTGCCCCATTCGTTTGTCCTGAAGCGCCTCTCTTTGAACAACTTTCAGGCAATGTAGCTCTTGCTGCAAGAAAGAACGTTGCCGGCCGCGTGGCTCAATATTTTTTGGAGCCTTTCGAAGAGTGGCGTCATGTGAAAGCCAAGGCCTTCCCCTCCATCCAGTGTGAACTCGATACATCTGCCTACAAGGCCCCAAATCCAGCGATGCTAGCGGAGTGCGCAGGTGGAGTCTGGAATGGGGGTCTTCTCCCCAAAATCTTCCTTGCTGGAGGCTTTCCGGGCCTGCATTTTCGGGATTTTCTCCGCCCCTTCGTGCTTGCGCTGACAAATGCATGCAGTTCGTCGATGTTGAAGAAGAGGTTGTTAGTTTTTTTTTGGTTTGGCCAATTTTTCTTTGGGGGGTTGATTTGTCTCTGGGGTGTTGGATTGCGTTGAAGCATGTGGGAAAGTGCGATGGGACTTGTTGATCTGCGTTCTTGGTTGGACGTGTCCAAAAAATGGCCCGCTCCCTCATCCCCGTCTTTGGCAGTTGGTCTCTAACATTTAGTCCTGATTGTCAGGGTATACACTAGAAATGATTTAGGCCCTGTCCGTTTTCTTCTTTTTTTCTTGGAGCCCAAATCCAAAACCAACTTGCAGGTCCCAGTGGTTCCTTGCCAAGGCTCGCTGAGCGCCCCCGAGCGCTGCAAACGCTCAATGATGACGTGCGCGGTCGTCAGCACCGAGGTCCTGTACCGGCAAGAGGGACACCCAGCAGATTTGTAGTGCCACATTAGACATGGGTGTGGCCAAGGGTGGGCCCGAAGGATCCGCACATGCGATCTAGGCATCAGATGCTGCAGCCATGGTGCACGTTGATCTTCATCAGCACCATTAGCAGCACCTGTACTGACTCCCATGTTGACCCGCCTGACCCGACCCTAGCTGCACACAAATCGAAGCCGAATCATCCCCAAATCAGGGGGGTATTTCCCCTCCTAACTTCCAAAGCATCCGTCAGACTTCAAAGGGCCACATCCCGCCAGAAGCAGCTGGAAACTCACAGCCAAAAAGCAAGTAAAACGAGGAATTGGGGAACTCACTTCGAACAGAGAGACTCCAACCTGTATGCAAAGATCGGCGCTCTTAGTTCATCCACCTTCTGCCTCCAACAATCAACACACAGGTTGGCAGGCAGGCAGGCAGGCAGGCAGGCAGGCAGGCAGGCAGGCAGGCAGGCAGGCAGGCAGGCAGGCAGGCAGGCACAAGCCAACAAACCAACAAGCAAACAAAACAAACATACCAACAAACCAAAAAATAACAAATACAGAAAGAAACAAAGAACACCACGAAGAAACAACCAAATAAACTATAAAACAAACACACCAAAAACAAACAGACAGACAGACAGACAGACAGACAGACAGACAGACAGGCAGGCAGGCAGGCAGGCAGAAAAACAAACAGCAAACAAACACAAGCGAGCAAGCAAACAAGCAACCAATCAAGGCAACCGACCAACCAACCAACCAAGCAAACAAACAATCAAACAAACACACAAGCACACAAGCAAGCAAACAAGCAAACAAGAACACAAGCAAGCAAACAAGCAGGCAAACAAACAAGCAAACACACACACACACACAAACACACACAAGAAAGCAACCACCCCACACACAAGCAAGCAACCAAACCCGAACGGTCAAAACCAACCAACCAACGTCAAACAACCGCACGAACGAACAACCGGACAGCCAAACACACAAACAAAAAACAAACCAACAAATGGACAAGCAATCAAGCAAGCAAGCAAGCAAGCAAGCAAGCAAGCAAGCAAGCAAGCGCAAGCAATCAAGCAAACCAGCGCAGGCAGGCAAACAGGCAAGCACGCCAGCAAGCAACACAAACAACACAAACAACACAAACAAACAGTCCGCGTCGAACCTTGCACTGCCCCATTTGCAAGTTTTAACGCGGCAAACCACCGCATCTGACAGGGAAGCTCAACGCTTGGAAAGCAACGCTGCCGCGGCACCAGTAGCACCGTCACTGCCGCCGGAGGAGTGCACGTCGCACCAAGATTGGCTTCCGTCCTCGCCGGCTGTCTGAGGTTCCCACGTGTCAGATGCCATAGGTCCAAAACAACCACAACATGGAGCTGGTTTGCGGGTTCCCTGTTCGAGCCAGGTGACTTTATCTCAGCCGTTGAACCTTGTCTGAGCCAGTGTCCCGTGTGGGCTGTGAGCCAAGGGCACAAACAAACACCGAACACTCCAAAGGAAAAGGAAGGGCTCGCTTCCCTCACCCGGGCAAATTCATCCCTGGCTTGTCGTCATGGAAGCCAAATTCGGCCAAAGGTCCTCCTGAGACTCCTTGCCGATTTGTACCGAACACGCCTGCTTGTACTTGTCGTGTTGCCCAATCGCATGCCGCAGAATCACGTTTTGGGAGGATGCACACCCATCTTTTGAAACCTGTGCTCACTACTGCAAGCCTGTCCTGCGCAGGCGTGTTGCTGATGGCAGCCGCATCTGCGGAGGCAAGCGCCTGCCATGAACAGCCACACCAGCAAAATGCCGAATGCAGAAGGGCGACCAGGTGTGCCCTCAAGAAAACTCCATGACGCAATCTGGACCAGCACGCTGCCAGTGTCCGAAACTCGGACTCCAACCAACAGGTCTAGATGATTTCGTGCGGTCCATTGCCAGCTTGCGCGCCAAGGGTCCCGGCGCCTGCCCACCCCAAGGCACAGATCGGAGATGGTCCTCAGCGTGAGCCCATTTGAGCTCTACCCACGAGGCCAGTTCGGAACTCATTTGCAGGAATTACCAGCTGATCAGGAGGTCCTTTACATGGGGTGACCGACTGCAACAATTTCTATACCTGAGGGCTCCCAGAATTTGCATTCATTTCTCCTTTTGTTTGGTATATGGCCTTTTGCCGAGCCTTGCTTTTGCCGAGCAATTCAAGACAGGCAATTCAACTCGGAGCGAGCAGCCCAGAGTTGCAGCACAGGATGAGGACCAAGACCAGGGCCACCGGGAACCTCGCCATGGCAAGCTGGTGACGGCTGCCTGGACTTGCCACCTCGCCCCAAAATCCTACCCCCCGCCGCCAAAGAAAACAACAACATGTCCTCAACAAACATCGGCAAGTGGGGGGCTTGCAGTACTTCGACCTTCTGAATCTGGGTGAACCTGCTTGCTGAATGCAGCTCGCCTTTTGCAAGAATGCATTTGAGGCTCAGCGCGCTGCGGGTGAGTGATTATGCGATGCAACGGATGTGTGCTTTCACACTCCCAGTACTCTGTACGTTGGCATCACTCAACTAAGCGCGCTCTTCCGGTCAACCTTGTCCGTGAGCTTCACGAAGGGCCTCAAGAGCCACTCAGCAAAGTCGTGACGAAGCTGCTTGTTGCACTTGGTCAGGCCGTCGGCAAACTGCAGTTCGGTGGGAACCCAGCGGATGCTCCGGTTGTCGATGAATGGACCTGATGTCCACGTAGGTGCGCTTCTCCGTTGTGCGAGGGTTCTGAGTGCACACCGCGTCAAAGAGTGACTTGCAGTCTGTCACCTGGAGCTGCCGAAGGCGCTGCGCAGCACGGTGCGCAGGTACACCATGTAGCAGCTCGGTCAAGGTGAGGGCTACGAAGTAGGCCCGGTCGACGCAATCGTCGCAAGCAGAGGCCTCCGCAGCCAGAGTGCTGCGACAAACTTGGCCGCTCCTGTGGCTGCGCCAGTCAACCAGGCTGGCCTTTGTCGAGGTCTCTGTGCAGTGGGCGGTCGTCCGGCTCTCGCTTGGTGATCTTGCGAGGGGCAGGAGTGGTGTTGATGAACTTTTTCTGGGTCACCTTCAGCAGGTAGCCCGAGTTGTCTGCCGCAGCGTGTACTCCTTACCCTTGAACTCGATTGGGGTCGTGAGGTCAAGCTGGGTCTTTGAACCCCAGGTGAAGAGCGAGAGCAGCTCCTCCTTGTCGTATGTCTCAACACCCGTGAGGAGGAAGTCGTAAACGTAGACAATGACTACGCACATGAGGTTGCCGGTCAAGTCATGCTTGTAGAACATCATCTTGTCCAGGGCATGTTGCTTGTATCCAACGCTGAGGACGCGCCTGGTCACTTCCTTGGTCCAGGTTCTCGCAGATGCCAGTCCGTATATGTTGCCGCGGGCCTTGTGCAGCTTGGCACGGAAGATGCCGGCCAGGCGAGCAAGTCCATCCTGTGGAGCAAGAGGTAGAGGTCGTCTGGCCTCTCGTCTGCGTCCGGCTGGCCTTGCAGGAAGGCGGTTGACACGTCGCCGCACCAGAGCAGCCATTTGGCCTTGGTGTTCTGCACCGTCTTGTTGATGCCGCTGGCGAAGAGCGCCAGGAGGACGTACTCACTGGTCCTTGTGGGAGTAGGCGAATCACGGCTGATCGTGGTGAGGTCCGGGTCAAGGTGTCCGAGAGCAACCGCCCTCGTCTTGGCGACCAGCTTGCCGGGTATCCCGCTTTTGTTCCTGTAGCAGGCGCGGCTTTGATCGGTGAGGGCTTCAACTGACCCTCAAGTCTGCCAGCCGCGTTCCTCCTTCTGGGCGCTCTTGGCGTACTCCATGACACTCGGCGGCCGGGAGTGTCATGATCTTCCTCCAGGGAATCTCTCGCACAAGGGCTTTCGCCTCCTTGCGGTTGAGAAGCTTCTGCTTGATGGGAGCTTGGTCATCTCCGGAGGAGTCATCCTCGGCTTCCGAGTGCTGGTTGTTCATGAGGTCAGTGACCAACACAGCATGGTGCTGTGTTTGCAAGCATTCCACGGCTGCTTGGCTGAAGACGGTGGAATGTCTGGGCAGCATCGAAGTGATGTCCTCACTGCCGTCCCAACCCAGTGGCGGTGGTTCCAGGCTTCCGTGGCTATCTGCCAGCATAGCGTCATGTGTGCGCTTGGCTGGTAGTGTTGGCAATGGCAGCTCAGTGCCCATGTTGTCTTCGTCATGCTGCTGACCAGTGCTTGATGCTGCTTGTTTGGGTTCGCCGCCTGTGAGGTCAACGAGCGGTATTGCTAGCTCGCCGGTCTGGTGTTGCATCAGGCCTGGTGGCGTGGTTGGTGCGTGTGTGCTTGGGTCGAAGAGCATCGGCGTTTCATCGCCGGATATGCAGTTGATCATGTCGGCCTGTGGTGGTGCTGATGCCTGTGACACCGTGGGTCGTGGTGTCTGTGTGGTTCTGCTTGTGGTGGAAGTGCCTGTAGTGCCTGAGGTGGTTCAGCCGGTGGCGGTCCGAGAAGTCGACTCTCGTCTTGTGCCGCTCGTAGAGCGCGTGATGGCGTCCTCGATCTGCCTTGGAGGCGAGTGAGGGGCTTGGACGCCTGTGCCTTGTGCTGCTTTGCTATGCCGTACCTATCCTGGTGGTAGTGCGTGTGGTAGCTCGGTGAGTGAATGGTGAGGTTGTCTTGTTGGTGGAACTGCGTGTGGTGCTTTGGCAGTTGTGGTAGGTCGAGTGGTTGAGGTTCCTGCTGGTGGTCATCGTGGTGCTGTTGCTGCTGTTGTGGTGGTGGTGCAAGTGGTAAAACGAGATCCGGTTCGGCCTCGTACCCAAGTTGGTCTTTATCTGGTGGGGGAGCACTTGCTCGGTGGTCTTCCCAGGTCGTCTTTGATGTTCCGAGCTGCGTCCTTGATGGTCGCGATGTCTTCCTGTGAAGGAAACCACGCCTCAAAGCCTGCTCCACTTTGTAGTCCAGCTCACTGCGTGTTGGGGTTGCAGCTGAGGAACCTTGCCATTGACCATCCGCCTTGCTTCCGGGTTGTTCTCCCCTGAGGGTTCTGCCGCCGCCAGTAGGCGCAAGGCTGTCCAGGCTGAAGGTCTCGTCGGATAGTCGTTGCTGTCTTTCTCAAGAGTGCCCTCCTGAGCGCTGAGGACGTGTTGCTCTCGGCCAGTGCCTTGGCAGCCTCTGCCCTGAGCATCTCAGGCCGGGTGAAGCTGTCGGTCTGCTCCGGCTTGTAGGCCAGGCCTCGCTTCAGGAATCCGCGAAATCTGGCCGAAGACTGCCATATATGCCGGCCTGCCGTGGCTGTAGGTGAAGCTGTTGATGGCGTGGATGGTGACCTCGAGAGCCTCGTCGAAGTCGGCCTCAGTGGTCACGGCGTTGGCGTCGATCACGCGCTCAAGCGTGTCCCTCAAGATGCTGTTGCGGCGCTCGACGAGGCCAATGCGCCAATGAGTCTCTGCGGGGATGATGTCCAGCAGGACGCCATTGCGCTCGAGGAAGGTTTTTTAATTCACCTCCGAAGTTGCCACCCTGATCAATCCTCAGATTGTAGGGAAAGCCATACGGCTTTATCCACGTCCATCGAAAGGCTTCCTTGGTGGTCTCTGGGGTCATGTCCTGAAGGCGGATCGCCTGATGCAGGAGCGTGGATTGGTCGACAATGCCCAGGACCGCGTGGGCAACCTCGGACAGCTCCGTTGCAGTAGAACACGTCGGCCTGGAGGTAGTCGTTGAGGTTGGCGACTGGCATCGCCGAGGGTCTTGGCTTCTGCTGTCTTGTTGTGCGCATGCAGCTATCGCACTTCAAGTGCTTCACTGCTGTCACCATGTGCTCGGAGATGGCGCCTTGCCAAGCGAGAAGGCGTATCAGCTCCTTCTCAGTTGGGTGACCGAGATTCCGGTGTATTTGGCTGACCGCTGACTTGGTCTCGGCCGTGATATTGGCTGGGCAGCGTAGAGGAAGGTCTTCTGGAGGCTGTTGTTCAGCAAGTTGCCGTGGTGGTTGAGCTGCTGGTGCTTGTTGTTCGCTGTCTCCGAAACCGTACCAAAACACGGCGTAGGCTGCGGCCTTGGTGAACTTTTGCTTGGGGTAGTGCAAGCCGTCCAGTGACTCGGCCTCGATCTGGACGGTGTTGTCCATATATCTCACTGCTGCGCCGCGATGTGAGTAGTCGATGTCGCGAGGCAAGCGCCTCTGGATTGGGCAACGTGTGAGCTGGATGCGGATGAGCTTCCAGGGTACTAGTCTGTTGATCTGCTGGAAGAGCGGGTCATCGTCCGGCAAGATGAGTGATCGCATGGGGGTGGCGTTGAACACGCGTGTCACCTTGTCGATCACGTCGTTCCAGGACTCGCTGCCACTGACCGGCTCCTGGTAGAGGACCTCCTTGACTGCCAGGAATTTGGTAGGTGCCCTCCTCCTTGCTTCCTCGCGCGCGGCTCGCAGGATAGCCCGCGCCAAGCCAGTGGGGTATTGAGCGCTATGGCGCACGTCTGGTCCTTGCAGGGGCACGCAGTACTGAAGCTGGGTAGCATCAAGTTTCCTGGAGACGGCCTTGGCGAGGACCTCGCTGTTGGTCATCCACTGAAGCGTCTTCTTGATGAGCTGGTTCTTGAGGTTGGTGCCGCCGTAGGCTCCAGAGTGGCCTCTGACAACGTAGACGTCGTCTCGCTTCTCCAACAGGAAGAAGTTGCCGAGCTCGATCTGGGTGTAGGCGCCCTCAATGGCGAGACTCAATGGCGAGGTTCACCATGGGCATCTCGCTCTCCCGGATCTCCATGAGCTCGCTCATGCGGTCCTTGCCGGCGTAGTTGAGGTTCTCGTTGAAGATGGACCATGCTGTGCATTCTATGCCTGCAACAAGCAGTAGTGGGCGCAGGCGTCGTTGCGTATTTCTCCAAGACTGTCTCTGTGCGGGGTCCCGCATGTCGTGCCCGTAGCTGGTAGGACTCGGCCTTCTCGGAGATCTCGGCACGCCCCGCAAAGAGCTCCATGATGTCGACTCTGCATGAGCCTTGTTGTGCAGGAAGGGTGTCGTAGACCTTCTTCTCGGTGATGTCCCATGAGCTGTCCAACACAGTTGCTGAGGAAGGTAGTGGCAACTGCGAGGAACGCGAGGCTGCGATAGACGCCACCCATCCGCTCTGGGCCGTGTCCCATCGCCACTTTCTCTGACACTGCTGGCATTGATCGAATCGGCCGTGTCGGTTCCCTGACCTTTTGATGTAGAGGTGCTGGCAGTCCTCCGCGTGGTGCGTGTCCCGGTTGTGGGTGTGGCTGCCGTCCGGGTTGTCCCTGTGAGCCACCATTGATGCCGTTGATGGACTCTTGGATCAAGAGCTCGAGGTCGTCTCTGGCAGGGATTTTGAGGAACCTTTGTGCCTGCCGGGCCCATTGCATTGCCCTCATCACCAGGTATCTCCACTGCAAGACATTGCGGGGGTGGAGGTCGAACCCTTGGCATGGCAAGAGGTCTGGGCTGGCTTGTCCTGCATGTGAGCCGGTTGCTTCATGACCAGTGATGTGACCATGCTGAACGTCGTAGGTCACTTGCCCCCCACTGGCTCTGTTTCGCAAACTCTGAAATCCCAACCGCCACATGACCGTTCATCATGGCGACCCGTCACCTGAATGAGATCTGTGATCGTGCCCATGGTGGTCATGAGGGGTCTGCTGGCCAAAAGAGGGATCCGCGAAGGGAGTACCGATGCCCCAATCAAACAGAGCTTGTCACCCAGAACTGAGGGGAAGTAGACCGTGGTGTTGGAAACAACCGGCTTGCCCGCTCCGAACTCAAACGTCTCAAGCCGCGGCACGTCGATGGCGCTGATGCCCATGACGTCGAGCTTGTGCCTTTGCGCATCGACCCATGCATCACCGGCACACGTACACTGATGTATCGAGAATCATGTAGCCAGCCAGTTGTGGTGTCAGCAAGGAAACCTCTACGGGGTTGCGCTTAATGCTGGTGACATAGGTCTGATGGGTCTCAATGGGGTGGTTGTAGTCATGATCGGGGTCGTCTTCCTCAGCCTGGTAGCCAAAGTGGTGGTCAACAAAGTGCATGGTCTTCGCGCCTTTTCCACCATCGCTGCCCTTGCCGGCAAAGTCCCCTTTGGGTGAGACGCCCTTTGCGCCGTTCTGCCCAGAGCTTGATGTGGCTCCTCCTTTGCCGGAGGCTGTGCATGAAGCGTCGCCTTTCCAGTGGCCAATCTGGCCGCAGGCAGCGCAATGGGAGGTGCGCTTCCGCTCTTTGCGAGGGATTTAGCACCACCGCCTGTGAAGCGTCGCCCTGTGGTGATGGCGCTCAGCTTCTTGGCGGTCACGGTCAAAACTTGTGCGATGCTCGTCATCAAAATCGTCGAGGTCCTGGCCACCGTCGTCATCCTCGATCGTGTAGGCAGCTTGCTCCGCATCTTCGGGCTGTTCATCAGCCGCCTCCTCGATGTTGGAAAGCTGAGGTGGCTGTGGCAGGTCCTCATCATCCTGGTAGTGGTGGTTCGTCTCCGCGACCCATGTCTGGTAGCTGCCCTTGGTCTGGAAGTTGCCTTTGCCGCCGTGCTGGGTGCTACCTTTGTACTTGCCCTTGTTGCCCTTTCCGCCGCTGAACTTGCCGTGGCCCTTGCCGCCGAAGGATGGTGCTTGTTGGTGCGTTGGGCCATCGCGTGAAAAGGTGGGTGCCGGGGGACGGTGCTCGGGATACTGGAAAAGGAGCACGTCCTTGATCTTGTCGAAGTCCAGCGACTGGGCGGTGCCGATGAGGACGTTCCTCTGCGCGTCGCTCGGCAGGCGACTCCGGTCAAGGAGCCGACTACCCCGAGCTTTGCTGTCGTACATGCTGGTGACCTCAATGCCGAGCGTTTCCAAGGCTCGCTCCGCCCTGCGGTACCTATTGCAGTAGGACCGCATCGACTCCTGAGCGTAGCGGCCGATGCTCTCAAATTCGTGGAGGAGCTTCCGCTTGACGTGCGCGCTGCGTGCTTCCACCGCCTGCTGCACCGTCTGTAGAATGAACTCCACGCCTTGAGGATGGTAGATCCGGCTGACATCCGCGTCTTCCAGTTCTTCCTCCAGCTCGCCTCTGAGGGAGTTGAAGAGCAGGATGCCGGATGTAGTTGACAACCTGCAGGAGCCAGATCTCGACTTGCTGTTGCAACTTTCGGTAGGCCCTGAGGTCGCCCTTGTCGTAGTGCCGGCTTGGTGGATTGCGAGGAGTGCCGCCGCCGTACTTGATACCGGAGACTGGCCCCTTGGCCGAGGTCCAGTCATCATCATCGTCTCGCTTGTGCTTGCCATAGGCCTTATTGAGAACGGCCACGAGGTCCTGGGTGTTGGGATCTTGCCGAAGGTGGGGCTCTGGTGGAAGGGCAAGTCCGGCTTGTTGGGAAAGTCCTGGGGGTGCGGCTCGTGCGGAGGTGCTTGTCGTCGTCGGCGTCGTCGTCGTCGTGGAATTGGCTCACCTTAGGAATCCGGTGGGGGTTCTGTCGTGGGTATCTCACTCTCAGCCTGCTCACCGGTGGATCCCGTCAGCACCGTCAGGTTGCCGGGCTCCGTGGGGCATGAAGACCCATGTCCCGTCCGGAGTAGCATGCCTGGTAGGCTGGTTCGCGTGGTAGAACTGAAGACCGCCGCATCCTGAGCACTTCCACGTGTCCGCGTAGGCGAAGTAGGACAAGATGTGGCACCTACAGTCATCGTCTCTGTCCAGCCTGATGGTTTCAGGGTCGGTCACGGAGTGCACGGGGGGTCCTTGGTCATTGGGCTCATAGTGCGTGCCGCGCAGCGGCTCCTGGTGAGGGACCGGCCGCCTGACAGGGTCAAGCGGAGGGTCACCAGCTCCAGGTGGTGCTCCTCGAACGGGCATCGAAGTGTCCTGCAACGGATCGGCATGATCCGGAGGCTCAAGTGACCGCGCCCATGAGGAGTGCCTGCTGCATCTTCGGGAGGAGATCCTCTAGCCGCGGCAGACGCGTCCATGTAGGCCCTAATCGGAGGCATGGCTCCGCTGCCAACTGGGTGAATCTGCTTGCTGAATGCAGCTCACCTTTTGCAAGAATGCATGTGAGGCTCAGCGCGCTGCGGGTGAGTGATTATGCGACGCAACGGATGTGTGCTTTCACACTGAAGACCTGGCGGATTCTAGCCCAAGCTTCCGCCAGGTGGTTCCGAATCTGAGAGCCAGGCACCATCAGGAAGAGCACGATGAAATGCACCGAGCTGAATGTCACGGTGCCATCGGTGATGACCTAGGCTCTCCAAACCAAATGCCCACGCATTTGAAATGGACAGGCGTCCGAAGCCAAAAGCCTAAAGCCGATCCCACTTTTGAGTTCAAAGCTTTGTGACACCTCGACTGATGTTTTTCTAACACATACGACTGACCTATGCCTCCCAGGAGTCCAAGCCCCAAAACATCGCTCACCTCGTGAAGTCCTAAACCTCCTAGCCGATCCAACCAAATGCGGACCATCATCCCCCCTATACAAGGAACCAACGGGGATGTATCTTTTTTGGTTGACCCCCCACCCAAATTAGTGGTTTCCACCATTGGTTTCGCCTCAAGCAAAGCATCACCCTCTCTCCCACTAACATGGCACTTGTGTATCTGGAAGATCAGTTTCCTCCCGTCTCTTCTGTTGGATCAGCTTCCTCTTTGATCAGCTTCCTCTTGGAGGGATCGGGTCCCTGTCAGGTGCCATGTTGGTGGGGAGAGAGGGTCGACGTCCAAACCGGGCCCCACAGCACCGACTCCCCGAAGCTCCCAAGGGGCGCAGTGCTCCGCCGCCTCCGGCAGCTCCGCCGCGCCCGTGGGGCCCATCAGCGCCACGAGCCCAAAGTTCACCGGGCCCGTCCTGTGAGTCCGTCAGTGGCCAGTGGCGTCCGGTGCAAGGGGTTTTCTACACACCCCGAACATCACAAACCTCCCAAAACAGGTGACTACTTTTGGGGCAGGTACTTTTGGGGTATGTACTTTTACTCTTGGAGTGTATGCTTGATGCTCCTATTGCTCATGCCGTGAAAAGCATGTCCTGTAGCTGCTGGTTTAGGCTTCATGCGCACCCAGCACTCACTCAAACACAAGCATCGGACAAGCCTAAGGGTTCCATGACAACTGTGCCATAGGGATGTGCAAAAATCATCAAGCTGCGCTTTCCCGAAGTGAGTGACTTGCAACCTGGGCCAGCCCCAATTTGTTTTCGCCCTAACCAGCGGCCCCCTTAGCAGCAACGTCCATCCCTCACAAGCCCATGATGAAAACGGCCTCACAGCACCCATGCCCTCAGCATCCTAGGTACCATGCATTGTCATATCCTTCGCGAGAGGCAACGCGCACATCAACGCCAAGAGAAACAAGATGCGTTTGTTCCCCGGCAAGGACCAACAAACCCCCCGAGCTGCTGGAGCAGCAGCAGCAGATCCTAGATGCTAACCGGAGAACGGCCTAAAGACCCCCAGAAAAAAAGAGCAAACAACGGCGGAGAATCAAACAGCCCATGCTGAAAAATAGGGACCTCCCAGCGCAAACATCACCTGAAGGTTGCAAGCTCTCCCACGCAAAAAAGCAGGAAAAGCGCAGGCGGGGCACAAAGAAAAAACACATGCATCATGAATACGCCCGGACAAACTTGCAAACTGAAACCACAAACAAGGGAAGAGCCTGCTTCAACTATTGCAAAGCGAAACACATATCCACATGTACAGTCTGTTACGTCGGTACGGCCACCGTAAGGCACCTGTATAGCCCAAAACGAAAGCTCAAACGCTGGATCTTCTGCATGCTGACCCTGCGGATCGGTTGCGCTGGCTACCAGCCTGCCAAAGAAACTGGGCAACGGCATCCCTCTCACCCGCACGAAACGTCAGCTCTCCCCCGGCCTGTCGCTCTGCGCTTGAACTTTCCTGAGGCCCCAACCCTCCCTTTGTTTCAAGTGAATCGACGCTGAGGAAAACCCGTGTAGGTCCCAAACGCGCGTGCAAGCCCAAGGCTTCCCTTTCTTTCATGCCGAGGGTTGGTTTCAAAAAAGCGCGTCTGGCCTGCAATGGTTGGCTTTGAGCAATGGCCAAGCAGCTTGCTTTTGGACGTCTTCGTAGTGATGGTCAGGGCAAGCCTGGCAGCTGCGATGCAAAGTATCGCCATGGCACCCGCCCCAGGGCTAAAATTGGGCATGGGGCTCTGAATTGGCGATCGCTGGAAGGCTCCGGCCTCTTCTTCCCGTGGCCATCCTCATCAGACTCCTTGGATTCCTCGGGACGCGAGGAATTTGAGAGAGAGACGAGTTGGATTTGCCCCACGATCCAGAGCACATCAAAGCCTCTTGTGGAATACATGGTCAGATCCATCAAAAGGCATGGGTCTGTACATCAAGTGCTGGGCGCATCTGGAAAGGTGACGTGTCTAGTGCAACTAACCACGATACGGTCCGGTCCTAAACTCTTCAACATGGGGCCAGAAAGCTGGCTCTTCAAGTGTGACCCTTTTACTTTTTCCACGAACATTCCCAAGGCCAGCAGCGAAAACTGAACACAACATGTCATCGTCGTGGGAAGATAGACACCTCAAGCACCCACCGGTGTCAGGCAAACATGTAACGCTTGCAACAAAGCTTGCAACACCAAGAAAATCCGGGAGACTTGTGGCCAGAAAACGCATCAGGCGCGGCCACGCGGCGATAGTAATGCCCGCAGCGGTGGAGTTTTGCAGCGGCACCAGGTTGCCCAACGCGAAACTCATGTACCTCATCACTTGGAGAAACAAACAAAACGTTGGCACGTCCACGCTTGAATTGGCTCTCTCTCTCTCTCTCTCTCTCTCTCTCTCTCTCAATTCGTTGCCGGATGTTGCCGGGTCCTTACCAGAGCACGGCCCAAGTGGATCAAATCTCACATTGCAACCCTTAGAGCCCCTACTAGAAATGGACAAAAAAAACAACAACAAAGCACCCAAACGCTTGCCGAACAGTGGAGTCCCATCATGGAACTCAACCTGGTGCCCCTTCAGTGGGATTGATCGTGACATGAAGTGCAATCCAGGAGGTATTGACCAAGAATGGCAACATGATATTAGCTATGCGTGACTGCATGCGCCCGTGTATGGACTTGAAGGGGAATTGCGCTCCCAGCACTTCAAACCACAACGATGGAGATGGTTGCTGTATGTTCGCTCCGCATGGCGAAGGCTTGCCTATGCCCTGCAAGCGCAGCCAAGCCGCAACTCTTCCTCCGAGGGGCCTTGGCAAAAAACCAAGTGAAAGAGTGGGCACGAGCGACGTGCTGTGGCCTAGCTGAGCCCCAAAGCGATTTTGGACATGGCTTAGGGGCCTAGGGCCTCGATCCAAAAAGTTGCCCCGCCCAGCGCTTTGCTCAGCCATTCAATGGGCAACCTTAAGGAAACCGCGGGCCGGGCTGCAAAGCTTCCTTTTGGTCGGCCAAAGATTTAAGATGTAGGCATGGGGCTTGCGGCTTATCAATCAGAACGGTGATGGGCGGGCAAACGATAGGAATTCATGATTGAAGTGGTCCCCAAGCCATCAAATGCAAGATCTCTTCTTTATACAAGAGTGAGGGCCAACCGTCACACAAAGGGCGTTGCCCACGAGAGGGCCTGATTCTGTTGGGGATCGCTTTAATGTTCAACTTTTTCGAGGGGGTCACTGAAACATCAAAACTAAAGCCGCAGCCTTTTACCTTTAACAGGCGGTTCATCAAACCAAGCTCTTCCCAGCCCAAAGGGCAAAGCCAAACCCTCAAATTTAAGATAACGCCTTTGTTAGACAACAACAAGCCCAACCATTTGCACAAAGGGGAGGGTGCCCACGGGAGCCAGCGATCCTGTTTAATATGACTGTTTGGGGGTCTGCTTGAATGTCACTGGAATGTCAAGCTTTTTTGAGGTGGGTCAAATCTGGCAGTGCTAAAAATTGGACGGGGCAATCCTAAATGAAACTACTGGGAATGTGAGAACAAGTCTTGGCAATACAAGCTGTAGACTAGGCACTCCAACAGTATCTGCTGGGGATCAAAAAGTAAGTCCTGGCAATACTAGATTTACCCACAGCCCCCGAGGGTTGCCGCCACCCCCGAAAGGGTGTAGGTTTAGGTGCAAGTTTGGGGTTTAGGGTTCTGTTTTCTTCCCCTAGGTTGCGTGCCCCTCTGCAGGCAAGCTGCTAGTGCATGTCTTAGAAGCTCTCAAGAAGTATCGGCTAGCTTTGCCGTCTCTGCCCTAGCGCTTGGCTATGACTAATTCAAGCACGTGGTGGCGAAGATGGAAAGTGCTTCAGGCGGATTAGGTCTCTAAGAAGTCTAGGTTCGGGCGTCGGGGCGTTGCTTTGGGGCGCAGGCAGCCCTCAATGGCTGGCCGTACATTTAGACTAGGCAATATTAAGATAGGTTCTGGCAATGCTAAACTAAGTAGTGGCAATCCAACAAGATGGCAATGCTAAAGCAATACTTAAGTAGTCCAAGATCCTTGCCAGCACTGTTTTGACTGTTCTGGGGTGAGATTTTTGGAGGTCGTCCGCATGGCCGAAAAGCGCGACGCGCGCGGCCGCGTCTTTTCTCCCTCAATGGCTGGCCCCAGATCGCTGCGGGCCCGTTTGCGTCCCGCAGGTTCCGCACGTGTAGCAGCTCTGCATCCTCTCCTGGATCACCGCCTCGGAACGCTGCCAACCACCCGCGCTCCAACCGGCCGATGCGTGGGGGAGCCGGGCAAACTCTGTCTGCAACTTGGGGACTGTCTTTGGTACTCGGGGAGTGGCTCGAAAACGGGGCAAAGGCAGGTCCATCTGCGAAAAGTAGGGTTGGTGGTTATTGAAAGAAAGAAAGGTTTCAGCACATGACCTTTGACATAGAGGCACGCTGTAGAGATACCGGATGAATGGCAACACACTTGAACACTGCAACGATTTGTCTGGCTTGGCCGTCGGCGTCGGCTGCTTATCAAAGAAGCCCGGCGTACAAAGCACGGCATCTTGGGAACATCACAAGCGTTTTGCCTCCGAACTCATCCACTGCGGTTGCAACTCAACAGCAGTTTGCAGCCCTCAAAAAAATGACCGCCGAAGAGCGATGCTCTCTTCGCTGGGGACGTGACACTAAAGAAAGCCACAACTGCCGAATTCCCTTTTAAAACCCAAGAGGGAAAAGCAGAGCGGTCCTCCTGCTCCATCAACTTGTCCTCGCGCAGGGTCCCGCGTTCTCTAAAGGTCTGGGGCCGCAAAAGGCCAAAACCCCGGCTCAAAAGGCTGGCAGCAAACATGCAACAGCGACCCCGGAACATGCTGTCGTGTTTGCTTCTTGGATTTTATAAGGGCTTCTGCATTTGGTCAACATCAAACAATTCGATTAAACTGATAAAACATACCACAAGCACCACACACACATACGTCACCACAGGGTGAGACCCCAAGTCACCTGCTTGCCTCTGAGCTAGGGTCCCCTGGTTGGCACTCAGCAACCTGTACCTGAGATGGACAGCGAAAAACCATCTCTGGAAGACCTGCTGGAGACTTAGGCAAACAATGTTGATCCCATGACATGTGCTACGAATAAGCGAAACAAACCCGAGACCCAGAATATAATTTTGCTATGAGTTGGAATGAAAGAAAGGCGGCGCAATCAAGCTGAGCACACACGCTAGGCTAGATAGGCGCATGCTAGACATCCATTCGAGGTCTCTGCTGACCATATGCATCACGCACACTAGCAATCAATTAGGAACTTTATTTTGCTACAACAACGACGGGTAGGTGCAGGAATTGACATTGGCTAGGCAAATGATCAGGCTTCTTGAAGTGTACGGGCCAAACGGAAACCGCATTTTCTGAATTGGTGCTCCAAACTCACTACACACAGCTTATATGATAGACACACTCTATACTTGCGAAACAGCTGGAGGCACGAGAGACAACTCTAGAAACGGTGGACACCAACTAACTCCACGGAGCCCTCCGGCTTGTAGAGCACTCAGTTCCCGCCTTTCTTTCGTTGCTTTAGGTGAGCTTCCCCCGTCCCTTTTCCTTTCTCCGCTAAGGCAACCCCTTTGAGATGGCTGGGTCAAACAGGCGGCTGGTTCTCAACTGGCTCTGTTGCATCAGCTGGTCTCCTTGAACTCATCAAAATTCCCCACCATGGTCTTATGGACGTTCTCGAGCATGCGGAAGGCTTTGTCCACGCGCACCTCGGTCGATACCCTTGCTAAGGTTGGAGCGGGTTTTTCAAACAATCCCAGCAGCCAAGTGTGTTTGTGTTTGCGCGCGCGCGTGTTTTTTTTTGTTTGTTTGTGTGTGTGTGTGTGTGTGCACGCGGGCACACGCAAACAAGCTTGCAGGGAAGAGCGCGCGCACGCGCGGCTGGGAGCGGGCGCGCTTGTGCTTGCCCGCTTGCCTGCGCGTGTGGCCCCTTTCCTCTCAGAACATGTCGGTGTCTCAACATCACAATTCGATCCTTGGAGCCATACTTGGGGCCTTTGCTGCGTTCCAGGCGGACCCGACTTGCCTCCTAGTTCCATGTTTGGGTGCCTTGCCAGAAACTCTCCATCCACCACACTGAATACCACGCCAACACTTTGCGGGTGCCTGTGTGCTCGCGTGCGTCTGTGCGCTTGTGCGGGCTGCGGGTGTGGAACCTGAAAGCCGTCTAGCCCTTGCTTGAAAGGGGCACTTGAAGTTCAAGCTCGAACCCCCAAAATGAGTTTTCAGAAATGACAATCACGCACAGTCGGCAGTCTGTGGGCAGAGGCGCCCAACATCTCCCCAGCTTCCCACAAATCGTGGAGAGGCAAGGCGACAGCAGGGTAAGCAGCACAATGAGCCCCACCACATAGGGCTCCATTGCCTGAAGGGCGACCTGACAGCACCGGCCATGAGACTATAACACCTTCTGGCAATCTGAAAGGAAGTACCAGATTTGAATGGCGGCCTAAGCGAATATATGAGTTGCTGGGCCCGCAAGACAAAAGCCAATTTTTGGTTGAGCCCAATGGTGGACTCAATGCTTCCCTTCTGGCGCCGGTCCGCAATCCTAAATCCCCGTTCCCACAATTCATGTGCATTGGCCGTCATAACCTTTGTCTTGCACCTACGCGCCTACAGCGCTTCTGCCTTGCCACCCGTCGAACACTATTTAAGCGCTGGGCCCTGACAGCGTTCAACTCAGCCGAAATCGGCTTCCCTGGCGCAACCCAACTTCAGAGCCGAAACGCTTGCAGAAATCCTGTCTTGTAGAGAATGAACAACTCCATTGGAAGAAGCAGGAGGATCGCAAAGTGGATCATCCTCAGCCAGATGAATCAAGTCTGCCTGGGGGCCATCAAGAACTGCAATGCTCGCTCTCTCTCTCTCTCTCTCTACCCCTCTTTCTGTCTTCTGTTGTTTGCTCTCTCTCTCTCTCTATCCCTCCTTCTGTCTTTTATTCTTTGCTCGCTCTCGCTCTCGCTCTCGCTCTGTCTCTCTCTCTGTCTATCCCTCCTTCTGTCTTGTATTATTTACTCGCTCTCTCTCTCTCTCTCTCTCTGTCTCGCTCTCCCTCTCTGTCTTTCTCTCTCTCGCTCTGTCTATCTCTCTTTCAGTCTTGTATTCTTTGCTCGCTTTTTCTCTCTTTTTTGTCTTCTCCCTCTCTCTCTTTCTCTGTCTATTCCTCTTTCTGTCTTTTATTCTTTGCTCGCTCTCTTTTTGTCTCTTTCTCGCTCTCTCTCTCTCTGTCTATCTCTCTTTCAGTCCTGTGTTCTTTGTTCGCTCTTTTTCTCTTTCTTTTTTGTCTTCTCTCTCTGTCTCTCTCTCTCTCTCTCTGTCTGTCGTTTATTCTTTGCGGGCGCTCTTTCTCTCTCTCTCTCTGTCTCTGTGTCTATCCCTGTTTGTGTCGCTTAGTCTTTGCTCGCTTTCTTTCTTTTTTCTTTCTCTCTCTCTCTCTCTCTGTCTATCCCTCTTTCTGTCTTTTGTTCTTTACTCGCACTCTCTCTCTCTCTCTGTGTCTCTCTCGCTCTCTCTCTCTCTCTCTCTTTTTCCTTTCTCTCTCTCTCTCTCTCCGTCTATTCCTCTTTGTGTCTTTTTCTTCTTTGCTCGGTCTCTCTCGCGCTCTCTCTCTCCCTGTCTCTCTTTCTTTTGTCCCCCCTCTCTTGCCATGTGCACAGAGCATCGACACATCCGAGGAGCAATGTGAACTGCCACGTCTTCAAGCTCCAGCCATGCAGCTCTTTCCACCAGTCGTCGTCAAAGTCAGGGCTACGTGTGTCAATCCTCGGGCCATGTTGGTCAACGGGCACGGAATCGGTGTGGAGGTGAAAGGAACCGGTGGTAGAAAAAAGAAATACCCCAGATTTCAATAAAATCCACTTCTTGGTCAGCAAGACGACTGCAAGACTTGACACTGAGACGCAAAGTGGGCACATCCAGTGAGCCTGGAGTGGAAGAGTGGAAGAGTCACAGGTGTTTATTGATCTGTATTGCCGCCACCCAAAAGCGCTATCCCCTGCGAAGTGCATCCGAACAATGACTCGATGCGGAGGGGACGTAACCTGGGGTTGCCAATGCGTCGCGGTATTGCCATGATTGCTGGGAATGGATGGCTTGGAACTTGATCATGCTTTTCGCCCATGCTCAATGACTCAAGCCTAAAGCCGAAGAGTGCCTGGTTGTCAGTGCAAAACGCTGGTTTCCGCAGGTCGTTTCCCATGAAAGTCCTTGTCCCGAACTGATCTCCGCCAAGACTCGAGGTCCAATAGTAAAATACGGCCGCTACAAAGACGTAAGGAAGCAAACAAATGCAATACATTGCGGTCGGCGTCAGCCATGCGTGAAAATAGCCGCATCTGGGCGAGAAGAAGAGCGTTGGAACGCAAACCCAATGGCCATCGGGGCCAAACCAGTAGACCAAGTAGGCCTCGAAGCTGTGATCTGCCAGAGTCTCATTTCGCACGAAGCCCACGGCCGCAGTGACGCCAGAGCTCACGTTGCCAGCGATGTTAGAAACCACCGCCGCTGTCCCCTTAGGTGCCGCCCTTAATGGCCCACTTCAGCCAGGACCACTTGCAAGGATTCTTTTTGGACAAGCCAGAGTCGGAAAAATGCCTCAGCCTTCAAGCCCCCCAAAATCCTCACTGAAGGTATTGCAAGACCAGAAGCCACAACCTACTGCTCTCTCTCTCTCTCTCTCTATCTCTATCTGGCTGCCAAAGTGGCCCAGCATTGCAAGAACTGTTCTCATTTCCCCCCTTTCCATTCTAATTTCTCCATGGCATAGTGCCATGTGTGAACAGCCTCGCCCAAAACAAGGCGGGCCAGCCACTTCAGGGTTGTAGCTTTCTGGGAGGGCCCTCCTACACGCGCGAAGCTTGATTCTTGTCGAAAAGGAAAAAACCCACCGCCCTTTGTCCATGCTGGTTTTTCGTCGCGCCAAGTTGCATTGAGCGCATTGTACGTTGCATTGAGCGCATCGGAGGCACTTTTGAGCACCTGCGCATCTTCCGAATCCGCGGTCGCGCTGTCGTTGACGTTGGCGATCCGCAGCTGGGCTTCCTTGCAGCTGGGTCTCACTGCTCCGCAGAGAAAAAAAAAACAAAAAACAGGCCGTAGGTGGGGGGCCTGCGGTTGACACCACTGGCAACCAGAGGGAGGTGCTGGAACTGCGAGGGGGCGACTTGAATGATTTGAGCTGCGAGCTTTTGTGCAAAGGCCGGGCTGGCGGGTTTGTCAAGGTCGAGGGTGGGCTGGAATAGGGTTTAAGGTGGGGGTTTAACGTGGGGTTGCCTCAGAATTGGTCGTGGGTTGGTTGATTTAGGCTTGTCGATTTGGGCTTATCCTCAAAAATAGGCCGCGCGCTTTCTGTCAAGTTGGCTTTGAGGGCCGTTCTTTTTTGACCGCCTTTTGACCACGCGTCGTCTGAGTCGTGGGGCAAGCTGGGCGGGTGCTTCTCGCGCACGCGTGGTTACACCTTGAAGGGGCACCAGGTGATATGTCTCGTCGCAGACATTCATGTGCCCTTGTCGTTTCTTGAGGGTACCTCCTTTTTTGGTCGGTTTTAAAGGGAAACGGTTAACAGGAAGCCTGCCATTTTGGGGGTCACCCAGGTCTACCCGACTCTGCAACCAAGGCCGTGGACCGTGACCTCCTGGGATAGCTTTGGATTTAGGTGCGTAGATAGTGGATTTCGGGCTGGGCGGTTGGCTCAAGGTGGAATCAGGCGGTTGCTGCGGTTCGTGTTTTTCCAAGATTGGTTTGCTGCTAAGATTGGGCTAAGAGTTGATTTAGGCTTGAAAAACCGGCTAAGTGAGATCAGTTTCTTGAGGGTGGAAAGAAACTCAAGCCGCAAAGCCAAGCGCCAGAAAGGCGGAAGCCAAGGAGCTAGAACACCAATACTACTATCAATAGTAAATTCGTGAAATTATCCTAGGATGAAGCTCACTCCGTACTCAAATCAACTGTCCTCCACTATTTGACACGTTTCCGTCGTCCTGCATGGAAGCATTGAATGGTGCCATGGGTTGCGCGGTGCATGGCCGGTAACTTATAAGTGCGTCCTGGTTCAACTCAGTCAGTTGGTCACACAGTGCGCTGCAAGAAAACAGCTCTCACTGGCAGCTCGGGGCTGCGGCTGCAAGAGAGGAAATAAGTGTTGTCTGTTCAAGTCCGAACAAGAAGCTGCTCAAGGGGATGCCTGGCTGAGAACATGCCGAACCTAAGCAAGTAACAAGGGCATGAGCTGCGCAAATGATACCGGCCGAATGTATGAGCATCGGGGTGAGCCATTTGCAGGGCCGAGGCTCCATTTCCTTCTGGGTCTCAACAAGCTCCAGCATAGCGCGCTCGAAGGACGCATCTTCTGTCACCTGAAGGCAGATTCGTTCGTTGGTTTGGAGGGTCATCAGGAAGTGCCCGACAAGGGGCACACGCAAATTAAGGAACGCCCGCTGACAGTGCGGACTTCGAATGGAGCGGGTGGCAAACCACAAAACCTGGCAGAACACACGTCGACCAGAATGTCTCGCCCAGCGAAGCGGATGTGTCTGGAACCCTTTTGACACGAGAGGCCATCCAGTTTACCATCCCACGAGTGCACTTACTTTTCACACATCCGGAACTAGTTGCAGCCAAACAGGCTTTTCAGCTGGAAAAAGCCAAGCCCAAACGCAATGTAGAGGCCACGTCTTCTTGAAGTCCATGCCAGTTTGGCAGGACGTCTATAAGTCCCCGTTGACACATCGTGGCGTGTGCCAGGTAAGCAACCCCCTCTTTGTGTCATAAGCAGCTGTCAGACTTTGAAGAACCAGAAATTCACGTAGGACCTGCAGCATGTCGGGTACCCAAAATGCAGCTCTTCTCTGCACATCAAAAACACATTGCCGCAAACGCGGGGCATACATTGAGAAGTATGGAGATGTTGCTGGAATATCTCATGCCCTGTTCCAACCCTGATCTTCTAAGCGGCGCGACTCCCTGAAAGTACTTTCAGCCCCTGGGCTCTGAAAAAAAATAGGGGCCAAAACAGGCCCTTCAAGACTCAAAGGAGGTACCCTCCCTCCGCCCCCCTCCGCGCCTGGGCGTGGCCGCGGGTTAAACCCGACTGCAGCATGGAAGGGCACATCGCCGCCCAGGCTGAAAAGGGGAAAGCCAAGCATAGCCTGCGACTGGCGAGCGAGGCGCCAATCTGCCTGCCTGGGGCCTTGGTAATTGGCTGATTTGAAAAGACAACAACAGCAAAACCACGATTTTACTAGGGCGCGTGTTCTCTTTGGCCTTCATTTCACGGCACTTTGAGGCCGAGTTTGGCTTGGTCGTGTTTTTTCTCCCGCTGATGGGCCTTGTGTGCGCCTGGAGCCTCCATCCGCACAATGCGCAAGGTCATTGTGTCACCGCTGGCCCTTTTGCACGCTTTAAAAAAATGGTGGACCCCTGCAACACCTGTTTTTCCCAAACTCTCGTCCACCCGCCCCCTTCCGGACCCAACAAACTTTGGGGCCCTCCAAAGCGATTCCAAGGCTAGGTGTAAATGCATATACCTAAATTGCAATTTCACCGGCGACGCTCCAACTACTCAACTATCCAAAGCTTGAAGCCATGTTGATGGCTGTTGTCCTTGGCACATTTGGAAACCTCCCTCCCCACAATCCGGAGCCGCAGAAACGTGTTGGTCTGTCCATTTCGGAAAGGCGGGGGATGGGGGGTGGGATTTCCGCTTTTTGGGGAAGGGGTTAGGGGGAATATTAGCCAAATAGGGCCTGATAAAATGTGTTTCTATTAGGGGTGTATCAGCGTTTCATCTAAGTCCAGCAAGTGAACTGCAAGTTTCTCGTAGCCAAACCAAGAACGAGGCCCCCGAAATGCCCTCTTTGGGCTACGGACAGCGTCGGCTACAGATGTTGCCTTTCTGGTTTGGATTGGTGGGTTTCCCATTCACCCTCAAGAACCATGGGTCCAAATCCAAATCCAAACCACCAAGCTAGACCACTAACTAACGGTTGCCTGTTGACCTGGACATGCGGTGCATGTTGACTCCAAAATCGAAACACTCGACTGGCGCGGGGAATCCCCAAGGAAACCGAGCCGAGCTCCCGTTCCCAGTCTTCAGGTCTTCAGGTCTTCAGGTCCCGCCTCTTCATTCGCCATGTACGTTCGGGTAAGGTAAGGTGTTAAGGTACTGAGCCAATGCCAGCGGTTTGGGGAGAGATGGCAGATGGCACCGACGTCCCGACATGCGAGAAGCGCGGCGAGTGACACACATGCCCTCACAAAATGCGGCGTACGCCGGGAGATTCCTATGTCCCACATGCGCTTGCGCAAAGTAGGCAAACTGTTGCTTGCCACATCTTACCACTAGATGGGTCGTCTCAAAAAGTTTAAAGTGCAGGAACTCAGGAAGTGAGGCCATCCTCAGGGGGTCGGAGGGGGCGGCATCAGCCGAGCGGCTCAAGGCCACAGAGTCGAAATGCGCCGGCTGATCCTCGCGAAGCGCCGAGTTTTATGCGACGGCCTGGGGCTACGTCAAGGGTTGCCACTGGCTGCTTGCCATTCATGTTGAGAGAAACGTATCCATTGTCTCTATGGCCTCCTGGGATTGCACCGGGACATGGCACTGTTCTGCTTTCTCGGAAATGAAAAGGTTGAAGAGTCTGTTTATAGCAATTTTGCGCCACTGTGGGTGCAATCCAAGGGCGTAACACAAACACACATTGAAGAGCGAGACTGTGGGCGTCCTTTCTTTCGTCCAAACGCACCCTTCCCCTTTTCACCCGCACTCCTGGCGGCAGCGGCAGGAGCCAGCTTGAAGCAAGTCCTTGCCCGAGCCGACTTCACCAGCCAAACGGGTCAACAAGCCGGGCCTTGGATATGTCTCATGGCATGTTGCTAGACAAGACTGGCCCGACCTTCCACTTACCAAGCCGCACACTCAAGTGCACCTATCTGCATGCAGGGTGCCATTCGGTATTCGCCGTCCTCCCCAAACAGTGTCACAAAACTGCCGAACCAACGGCTGATCCCGGTCCTCCATCTTTTCGTGGCCTGGCTCGCCGAATGCAACGCTGTTCCGGGCAAGGATTCCTGGACTGCCAGACTCATGAATGATGGTTCGCTGGGGGCGTCCCAACCACGTCAGAAACCATACACCTTACGAACAAGGAAGGACAAGGCGCAGCTTACAGTACATACCTCACCCAACACAGCGCATAGTTCTGTTTGCTTTGGAGCAGCGAGATTGTATTCAATCAGGGTGCTTTAGAAACTCCAGGCATCTCTTTATCCAGGAAGACATACTATGGACCCTTGGAAGTGCCTTGACTGGATTGCCGGACTTCACGTGACGCCCCCGAATGCAGAAACGAATCCACAGCGAAGGAGGCCGCAAACTCCCCGCGCGCTTCCTCCGCCCGTGCCCCTGGCATCCACTCTGAGCCCCGTGCTGTGTGAGGCATTGAGGCTCAAGCTCAAGAAGTCTGCCTGGCCATGGACATCCGATTCTGACAATTCAAGACACGCCTCGTACTTTTTGTGTGCGGAATCGCTGTTTATTTCATTTTTTTTTTTGGGGGGGGGTGGTGGTTCTTGAAAAGCCAACAAACAAGAGGCACCCTCAACAGAAAGACACACATTTGGCATGCTGATGGCACACTACGATTACTTTAAGTGTTCTGGAAGCTCGGCCAGAAACTCATCTGCAGCCTTCCGACTGGTCTTGCCAAAACTTTATCTTGCTTACACCCTTACGTTTGTGACATGACACCATGCTGCTCGATGTCCTTGCAGGAATGTTGCTCTTGCAAGCCCATCTTTGAAGAAAAAACACCGCAAGCTGACCTAACCCTTCCGACCTTTGCTCGACTGCTCGAGTTTTCCTCTGAGAACCTGGGGGCGCCTCTAAAGGCTTCACGCCCGGAAAATCTGCGCGCCTCATGCATCTGCCAGCTGTCCTGAGCTGCCTCTGGCGCCTCAAAGCAGCTGCCAGCACAAAAGCTGCTTCCGGGATGCTGCTTAAAAAACCCTCCGGGTCCCCAGGCCCAAACGCCCCTCTTCAATCGGGAAAGTTGCACCCAGCTTCGCCTGCGATGTTTTCCAGCACCCATCTCGAGAGAGTCATCTCACGATGGCAACCAAACCCACGCGCCAACCACACCTCGCTTTCCAAGCAGCAAGGTAGAATGCTGACCCCATATTTATCAACCCCAGTTTAATCAGGGGCAACGTGGGGACCACTTTTGGAGAGCCAAAACCACGCCCCACACCCCCCTCACCCCCCCCCCCCCCCCACCCCCCCACCCCACCCCACTCCACCCCCTACCGCTTTAGGGGTTGAACCAGTCCCAACGCTCAGCACCCGGCGGGCGGCAGCTGGTTGCAGCTCCAGCCGCGGCGCTGCGCGGGGCAGTCCTTGAAGGCCCAGCACTGGCAGCTCTGAGAGCCTTGGCTCTCTCCGGCGAATTCCATGGGCCCCAAGCGGTACATATGTATACAAGGACGAAATCCTGAGTATTTAAGGGGGTAGTATATGTATATATATATATGTACATGTATGTGTGTGTATCTGTATATGATATAGGTATTGCTTGTTCTTTATACAAGTCTTGTTAGGCGGTGGCATGGAGCAACGCAATGTTACCAGGGCTCTATAACGTTGATAATTCCTGGCGGGTGGTTCAAATCCCCCGAACGCCTCCGGAACTGCCCATGCCGTCTGGTATACAGACTATACATGTATTGTTTTTTAATCACCTAAGCCAAAGAAGAGACCCTGCTGTTTGTTACATGTGTCACCTTCAAATCGGCCATTCAAACAAGCTAGCCGAAGAGCCTCATGTATTTGAAATTGAGTCGGATTCTTTCATGACCTTGAAATCTAGAAATCACACAGCTCCAACAGGAAGTCAGATGTCAGATTCATCATTTTGTTCCGGAAGACCTTCGGCCGACGTTGTTTTATATAGAAGAACATAGAGATTCAATCATTGCTCAAGCGATACATGTCAGACCTTGGCATTGGTTTGGCGCGGACATGCCCAAGGACAGTACCATCCTACAGTGTCTTACTGCTAAAGTATTTTTGGCCGGCCGTCTATAAGCACTTCCGGGTCTTTGTCTATCTGCACGTTCTTCCTTGCCGCATGGTCTTTGTTTGCCCAACCGCCAGATAAACACATCGATCTGCCTGACCTGTGCCGATCCGCATGCGCCTAAAGGGTGCGTGCACAAGTGTGCCTTTGGCTCTGGAAAAGCGGCGAACGGTGTTGGCACTTGTACGTGGGTCGCAGGGCGCCCAAGCATTCTTTGGTTCACTTTAGGCTGACTCCATCTTTCAAGCTATAGGTGGTCTCATCCCAAAGAACGGCTTGAATGAGAGCAAGTAGCAAGGAAATCTCATGTCAACCCATTCGCCATTGGCTTCAACACGGACTTTTTAGGCATTTGGAACCCACATCACACACACACACAACCCCATGAGACATAACACAACGGCACCCTCCCCGGCTACCATCCCGGGCGTGTGCTTGTGCCTGACTTCGCCCAGGCTCTGAGATGAGGTCGGCACACCAGCGTGGAGTGTGAAGCACTCAAGGCAGTCAGCAGCTCGCGGCAGAAGGGCCGGAACTTGCATTGGCAGGCGCCGTCCTGGCTCAAACAAACTGATCACTGGCGCATCCCCTCGACAAAGCACACCACAAAGCATCGAGTTGCTGGTGGTGCGTGGCCTAAGTTAGATGTTTCGCTTCTTCAAGGCAGAAGGTTTGCGCTTGCATGGTGAAAAGTAACAAAGCCACCCAGCATGGCTGTTTGTCCTCCTGTTACACACGCACACACATCCTGTAAACCAACATGTTCAATTCTGTAACTGCGAACCTATTTGGATGTCAGATTGTTGAAACATGATGGTTTAGAATAGTTTAGAAGTTTGTTCCTCCAATTCTGGCTCGGGAGCTTTTCCCTTTCGTTTTTTCCTAGTCAACCATGATCGGGTTGAAGACTGTCTTCTTCACATTCTGGCTTGGGAGATTCGGAGGTTTTCGTGTAGATTCCGTCTCTGCCTGTGCAATTCTAAGCAGGACAAAAGGCCGGCACTCATCCCATGTATTTCAAGCCACTCCTACGAAAGCGCGGCCGGCAACTTTGAGTCGCAGACGAGACCCGATGCCCTTAGCATCCATGCCGGGAAATACAACAAACAAGGCAGAACAATTGTTACTTCTGAAACTTGAGTGTATGCCAGCCGCAGCCTTGCATGTGCGCTCGGTGGACAAAGCTGCAATCACCACTGTCTGCTCCCTTGCTAGCTGCTAGCTTAGAAGGCAAGAATGCCGTCCCAAGCAAGAGAAAGCAGAGACTTCAGCCAGGCAAAAAGCAATATTGCGCGTTCAGGTCTCAAGGCCTGATAGTTATTCCGCAAAGTACGGCAAGCAACACAATTGGGCGCACCTGAAATAGCCACATGCTGTTCTTCGCCATGGATTGAAGGAGTTCAGGCAACCCTTCTTTGGTGGTTGAGATTGGTGGCTTGGAACTTTGACCCCCTAGGGGATAAATGGGAAACCCCACTAAGCACCAAACCACCAATCCAACCCATTCGAGGGAAGCTGAGTGAATGCATAGCCCAGCCTCAGGAATGCAGGCCCATAAACTGTTGGAAGAGCGGCACCGCTCTGCGGGTAGCCCAGGCAGAACGCAAGCCGTGTCTACAGGATCTGGTACCTTGGTGCAAGGATCGGGTGGGGTCCCCCAGGTATCTTCCCCACAAAAGAGATCTGCACCGAAGGAAGCTGTACGTGCGTGGCATGTTGGCTTCAGCTGTTGCTACTTGGGGCGGGCTCGGTGACCCGGTGATTGATGGCATTCGTTCCCGTATTTTGGTGTTGCCCACAGGGCTGCAAACAATGTGGAACATGAGGCAACACTGGGCATAAATATAGGGCGCTATACTTGCAGCACGCCTAGTGTGGGCTAATTCCAGCCGGCCACATACTCCCAGGGATTTCACCACTGCCTTCTCCGCTCACTTGCTGATTTGTTACAATCCGCCCTGGAAACCCTTGGAAGCCAGCAATCCGACCGCTTGACTGCAAACCCCCGGCTCTGAGCCTCCCGGCTCGAGTGGCGTTTTTGGGAAGCTCGGGCAGGACATAGTGCATGAGGTCACACAACCTCAAACTGGGCATGAGATTTGGTCCGGATGCATGGATCTCTTGCCCCTTGCGCTTGGGCTTCTTCACTCTTGGCACAAATCCCGCTCACAGATGGACCCATCCTTTTTGGAGGTTGGCAAGCTTGGTATTGCACCCGCCTTTAGCTTGGCACCTCCCCAGTGACTGTGCTGCCCAAGAAGCGTGCGGTTGGCAGTACCTGGCTGGCTGTCACATAGCATACGAATTGCCCTCCAGCCTTACACTGAAGCTTGCAGCAACATTACATTGCATTGCGTTGCGTTCTTGAATGCATGCACACCAAAGGATCCCACCTCCGGATTTCCAGACACCCCTCTACCCCCTCCCCGGCTCCCACAGAGCAGGAAACTTGGACACACGACTTCCGCGACTTCAACTACGACAACCTCATCCCAGTCCCCATCCGCGCCTGGCCCGCCCTGGCGGAAGTTCGGTTCGATTTGGTGCCGTGCCGCTTAGGGAACCGAAAGCCAGAAGACAAAAGGTCGGCCTGTTTCGATCTTCTGCGAGCAAGTTGTTGTCTCAGATGCGCTTGGCGCCAGCGTGGTCACATCGGTCGGACAGGGAAATGGATGAACGGTTGGTTTGCTTGTTTCGCTCCTGCTTGGCGGACGGCCCGTGTGCAAGCGCACAGTCACTTTCCACCAAATATCCCCTTATGCCAGCGTGCAATCTTCTGCATCTTCTGTGGGAATGCGACTCCTAAGCCGTCAGCGCCAGCTCATTTAGCAGGAAGCCTTGAGGCACACTCACGCAGCCATGCGCAGCCATGTGCCATCTCGACTTGCGCCACGTGCGTTTCCCTTTCGCGTGCGATTCTCACAGCCTGCGTACACAATCAGTGTCTCTGCACAACCTGTCTGCGATGTGTTCTCTGCGGTATCTCGGTGCATTCTCGCCGTCCTGTCTCAGCCCAAACGAAGTGAAGTAGGCAAAGCGGCCAACGGGAAACGGCGAGCTCATCGAGCCATCCAAGGAAATAAGCCTGAGCGCCAGCTGCAAGCCGGGAGGGGCCGTCCAATCTGCTCGGTGCCTGGGACCAGGCAGCCTGGGCAGCATGCGGAGCGGTGCGCGGCTCCGATGCGCCATGAACATGGCACATGAGGGCTCTCGTGCTTGCATCCTGTCTCAAGCGGCAGGAGTATGACCGTGCTAATTTGCGGTGAGTCGAGCGTGGGGTCTTGGGCGGCGGAATGACCGAGCTGCGAACTCGCGCAAGGCTTGCATTTGAGAGACACAGCAGCCGTCCTTTTGCCTGACGTTGGCTCGGCGGCTTGCCGCCCAAACTGCTAGTGCTCGTTCGGAGCATGTGCGCTCGCTGCCTCACACTGCATTCTCGTGGGACGTCTGGCTCTAAAACACGGAGACCACAAAACAACTTCAAGGGCACAATGCCAAAGAAATTATCCCCTGCCCTTGCTTGACAGAGACGCCCGAACCAGCTCAGAAGAAAACCAGGCATGACGCTCGTTGCGCCGGGTGATTTTGTTGCGAAGTACCCAGCGAGCGGGAACCTGCTTGAGAGTGATGGCAGCAGAAAAGCAAGGATCTCGAGTCAGCCATTTTGGTCAACAAATGTGTGAAGGGCAATCGCAATCCGACACTTGGCCAGTCCAGGAAGGACAACGCCTTTCTTTGGCCAAAACACAGCCGTCCGCCAAGTCACTTAGCATCGCTCAAAACCCCTTCCATACGCCAAGATGAAAAGGTGCAGGCAACAAAAACCACCCCTTGCCACTTGACAAGCCAGTTTTGACTCCTTGCTCAAAGTTCAGCTTCGCTCCAATTGGTGGTTTGGATTGGTGGTGGACCTCTACCAGAACCAGGGCTCAAGTCCCCAAACCACCAATCCAACCTAACTAGCCTCTCAGTGCCAACCCTGCCCCAAAAAAAGGGGGAAACGGGGCACCACCGGGCTCAACTCCATCCACGCAAACAACAACTCGCCACGTGTGCCGCTCGAGAGCCTTGCCTCGGGCAGGTTGGGGCGGATAGCGCCCGCCAGCGCCACAAGGAAGAGCCTCTGGGTGAAACCCGACCGGGAAACACCCAAAAGGCGGCATGTACGCCGACAAAGCCGAGGAATGTGGTTCATTCAGTCGCATCCTGTGGTGAGCGACTCGAACTCTTCGACTTCAAAGCTCTCAACCTCTCGCGGGGGAGAATGCTGCGCGCCCGCAAGCCGCAGTCGCCTTTTGCGCCGTCGCTGAAGCCCGGCGAGCGGGCCGACGATGGCCCCGGCCAGAATCTATGAGCTAAAGCCACGGGCTGCAGGCCAGTGCTCAATTCGAGGATGTCGACCCATGTCTTCCAACAAGAGCCTTCCTTGGGCATGAAGAGACACCAACAAAAAGGAGCAAGCGTATCAGCATATCTGGATATGTCTACCCTCCTTCCTACCCTAGCCTTCTATCTAACCAGTCTGCCTGGTAGCCATTCCACACACGCACATGTTTGCATGCACAGACAAAGGAACAAAAGCCCGAAACACCAGTGTTTGGAAGCTCGAAGGGTTTCCATGTTTGTGAAACCCGAGTTGCTTCCACCATCCTCACGGCAAACTAAGGAAATTGCGGTTGGCTGCTGGCAAAAATGAAACAATCAAGCCATTCCCGGGGCAGTGAAGCAACACCAACAGCAGAAGCTTCAATTGCAAAGCACATATTGACACGCGCACAGACACGCAGCGCCACGCATGTGATCAAATTTACTTTGAATATCTGCTTCAGGTGGCACACGTGCATACGCCTGTATGATGCAAAATCAATGTGCGTACATCCACGCAGAGCAAGCCTAAAATTCCATCCGACACACCTCTGGTGTACAAATCATAGATGTCTCCGCCTGCATCTGGTGCTTTTTCCCCTCTCTGCACAGCTTGCCGCGGCAAGCCGCACGCCGCACGCCGCCTCAGCGGGGGAAGCCCCCGAAGCCCCCGAAGCTGGCGATGGTGGCGGGGCCGCTGAAGCCGAAGCTGGCCGTGGTGGTGGTGGTGGCGGCCTTCGTCGTCCTGGGCCGACGTTTGGACCGTTTGGACCGTTTGGGTCGGCAGGTTTCTGGGCTTGTCGGGCCGCTTTTTGCGGGAATTCCCACGTTTTTTTGTTGGTTGGTTTTGAGGGGGAGCCAACGGGAAAACACGGCAGCTGTTCAGGGTCCTATTTGAGAGATGCCCAAAAGTCAGGCGAGCGAGAGAAACTGAAAGGTCCCGGACTGAGAGATTCAGAGGTCCCAACTCCTCAAAATGGCTACGGTCAAAATGGCTCACGCCTCTTGGAAATGGCAAGAAGCAAACACACAGCATCTATCTTTAGGGGGCCTCTTTTTTTAGCATGTCCTAATCATATGCTTGTTGGCTTGCACTCAGCCAGGGAGATAACACAACTTCGGCAAGTAAGTCCCACAATACGCCAAACATGTGAGCTGCTCAAAAGGCTCTCGGACTGCAACCTGGGGGCACAATCGAAGCATGGCCTTGCTTGACCAACAAAGATACGCTTCGGCGGGAGGACGACACCGAAAGCTTCAATTTGGGCATGTCTCTAAATAGGGAACCCCCCAAGATGGCTGGTTCATCCGTTTCCCTTCAAAACCAGCCAAAAGGGGTCCCCTAATTTGGAGACAGACCCATTTCACAAAACCCCTGGACTGGCAAGTGGCAAGTGCCAAGCCGGAGGCATAACCGCTGACTGAGAATGCCGAAGCCTGACGTTTAGGGCACCTCAAAGTTGCAAAACCATAAAACCCCGTGCAGAAACATGCAGAAACAGAGTCCCATTTCTTCGCAACACACTGCAACACAATTGCAAACATGACCGGGCTGTGCAACACGGAGTGTTGGCCAATCCTAATCCAACATCGCACAGGGACACCCCTTTCGCATCCCAAGCACGGATCTTGCGGGTTGTCTTTGACGGAAGTTTTCGGCGCCCCATCCGAGCTGCGTGGTGGTGGTGGTTGGCGTGGTGGTGGTGACATCGGACACATAGGGGCAGGCTGCACCAGACGGGTAGCCAGGCACGAACTCGTCTGCACGGCAGCATTGAGAGGCCTGTCATTGGGCCCCAAGCGAAGGATTTTTACCATGGTGAGCTCGTTTAACCCCCGGAATCGGTGAGCTCGCCAAAACTATGCAAATACTTGCCTTGTGATATTGCCCTTGTGGCTTTGGCTGGTTTGGCTTTTGGGAGCTGCCCAGGTTGCATTAATTATGAGAAACATATCGTAGCGAAGCCTGCTTCATCTTCAACATGAACCATTCCGCCCACACTCCATTTGATTCCCGGCGATTTGATGGTGCAAGTATGCCCCCACACCTCTATCCCAATTTGCGAGTCTTGAGGAACGCCGCCTTGACAATTCGCGGAAAATCGAACTGTTCAACTTATCTCAGCGCTGAGAACTCGCCAGAAGGGAACGGGTATGTCAGGATTACTGCGCTTTCTGCACACAATATATCAACTGTTCTGGCTTTTTGTTTTGCTTTTCAAGGACCTGCAGACTCAGACGCCAATGCTCGTGTCCTTCTAGGTATGTGATATGCTCGTTCTGAGATGGTTAGCCACAAAACTCAGTTGGGCCTGTACTCGATCGATGGTGGTGCTTTGTTGGCACGTCTTGGGAGATTAGTGGAATACCCCGTGAGCTTCCCAAGCCGCTGTCACTCCAAGGCACACAGCTCTCAGCAGGGGTGGCGGTGGGCAAGCCGTTGTACCAGATGTTGGAGAAGGTGGCCTCAAGCGAGAAATCTCTTCACTCAAGAGCAACTTCCGGCACCCCGTTTCGGGGTAGCATCTTGCAAGAAGGATAAAACACCGGATTGGGATCACCAAAGCGTTGGAAACTCTTGGGGGGGTACCAGGACCGTTCACAGGATAGCCGTCACTGGCCGTGACCAGGGAATCCAGTGAAACTAAAACATTTCCCTTTGGTGGGTGAGCCTCCTTGATTCCATTTACTTTGCGGCGAGGCAGTTTCTGGACAGGCTTCCTAGGCGCAGGGGATAAAACAGGTTTCTACAGGAGAACCTCTGTGAACAGGTTCTCAGGCTGGCCGCTCTGTCCATGGCCGTCAACCCCGAAAAAATGCATTTTCGGCATATCCCACACGCAGGAAACTGAGCACCACTTCATTCTCAAGGCATGTCCATAAAACTGCGAGCAACTCTCAAATGCCAACGAACCAACACGCGCCCAACAGAAAAAGAAATATGATGTAGGTCGACGTGCGAGCACACTTTCATCCCAACCCCAAAAATTCAGTGCCTTGAGAAGCCCAAACAAGACAAGCCCACTTCCTTGCAGGTTGCGACCTTGCTTGCTAAGAAGAGGTCGCCCCCTGTGGATGGAACAAATTCTTCCAGTGCGGAAGAAATGACCCTACCACGCAAAAGCTGGTTCGACTCAACCGTATGTCCGCATGGCTGACACCCCGGCAACATGCGTCCTTTTCTAAAGCCTGGCCAGCCTCCCTTCCACAAGGTGCCCGGGCGCATGTCAAAGGCAAGGTGCGCCGTTGGCCGACTTCACTTTTCAATTCAGTGCGGAGAAGGGAAAAAACCCTTGAACCTCCTTATGGCGTTCCTTTCTTGATGTCCAGCCGCCAGTACTTTCTAAAGCACCCCTTCCCACCGGGCGCTCAGCCGGCCGCCCGAGACCCGCACATTTTGGGCCAAGGAGCGGTGCCCGGCTGGAAAAACACCTCCTCACAGCTGCGCGCCCCAGGGGCGTCGCCGTGCATGGTCAGTGCCTCTGGGCTCTGGCTTCTGCAAAAATGGATCCATCGGCGCAAGCCCCCAGAGGAATGGACACCAAGCCCCAAGGAATGAATAGCAAATCATGGAAGATGCAAACCATTGCACACCCCCAAAAGCCCCAGGATCCCAAAGGAATCGCAATACAGGGCCGGCCTGCATTTCCCCAAAGCTTGATCAATTGATGGGTGGGCTCCATTAAAACTATCGAATTCCACTTTTGGAGGTTCCAAAAAGGGACACTGAGGAAACCCGGGAATATGCAGCTTGCCTTGCATATAATATTCCAAGGGTCTGGAAGAAGCCGGTTCTTGCGCAGTTTGCTCCGCACCATGTTGTTTCACCGCGAAGCCATTCTTAAGAGATGATACGTGGCTGAGCCACGACGTTTGCTCGCAAGGCTCTCCACAAGGATTTGACCAAAGCACGCCTAACGCCGCTCACCGAACAGCAGCAAGCAATCCGAGGGCATCAAAGGATGCTTCGCTAAGGATGAAAAACGCAACTCCCCTCACCCACTTGGTGATGTTTCCTGAAGCATGATATGCACTAGGGCCACCAAGCTTCGGTTTCCCCGTGTGGCTTCCATTTAAAATCGCAACCCCTCAACCGCCCCAACAGGGGCATCCTACAAGCAGTTTTGGGGATGGAAAGGTTGCGGGCCGCGGTGCCACGGGGTCAGTGGCGTAGCTTTTCTGTTTGCAGGCGGTGATGCCCGCGTCGACCTCCGCATCCTGAAGGAACAGCCGGGCATGGATGCTGGCAGGACATCCCGGCAGGGGGAGGCTGTCCGTGCCAGCCTAAAGTACAAGCCCGCACAGAGTGAGATGTAAGCTTGGCAAACAAACTCGCGGGCAGCTTGAGATGGGCCAAGGAACTTCCGCAACCTGGCCCCACCTCTTCGCATTTCGACCATGGACCGAGCGCCGCCGGACCGACGGACCCCGCACACCGAGGGCCAACGTCCTCCATCTTCAAAGCGTTCAGCAGGCACTCGATGCGGGCCACCAGGATCCACTCCGCCTTCACTGCCGCCTCGCCATCCTGCGGATTTTTTTTGCCGCGGACGCCAGAAGAACTCCGCAAATGGCTGTGTGTCAATATCCAAATCGTACCCCCAGTGAACATCCCAATCCCCACTAAAGTAGACTAAAATGGTTGGTGCACCTACCCCAAAATGGTACCATTGGTTTTGACCCATGGCCACACGTGTAAAGCATGCGAGTTACGCATGCAGCTCATATTAGAAGGCAGTCAATTCAATGCCAGCTT